GTCTCCTTTCATAAGACAGGTTTTCCATTCCTCGGATCATCCTAGTAGCCCTTCTCTGTACCTGTTCCAGTTTGAATTCATCCTTCTTAAACATGGGAGACCAGAACTGCACACACTATTCCAGATGAGGTCTCACCAGTGCCTGATATAACGGTACTAACACCTCCTTATCTCTATGGAAATACCTCGCCTGATGGATCCCAAGATCGCATTAGCTTTTTTCATGGCCATATCACATTGGCGGCTCATAGTCATCCTGTGATCAACCAATACTCCAAGGTCCTTCTCCTCCTCTGTTACTTCCAACTGATGGGTCCCCAGCTTATAACAATAATTCTTGTTATTAATCCCTAAATGCATGACGTGCACTTTTCACTATTAAATTTCATCCTATTACTATTAGTCCAGTTTACAGGGTCATCCAGTTCTTCCTGTATGATATCCCGGGGTCCTTCTCTGTATTGGCAATACCTCCCAACTTTGTGTCAGCCGCAAACTTTATTAGCACATTCCCACTTTTTGTGCCAAAGTCAGTAATAAAAAGATTAAATAAGATTGGTCCCAAAACTGATCCCTGAGGAACTCCACTAGTAACCTCTCTCCAGCCTCACAGTTCACCTTTCAGTATGACCCGTTGTAGTCTCCCCTTTAACCAGTTCCTTATCCACCTTTCAGTTTTCATATTGATCCCCATCTTTTCCAATTTAGCTAATAATTCTCCATGTGGAACCGTATCAAATGCCTTACTGAAATTGAGGTAAACTAGATCCACTCGTTTCCTTTGTCTAAAAAATCTGTTACCTCCTCAAAGAAGGAGATCAGGTTGGTTTGGCACAATCTACCTTTTGTAAAACCATGTTGTATTTTGTCCCAATTATCATTGACCTCAATGTCCTTAACTACTTCAAAATTTTTTCCAAGACCTTTCATACTACAGATGTCAAACTAACAGGCCTGTAGTTGCCCGGATCACTTTTTTCCCCTTTCTTAAAGATAGGAACTATGTTAGCAATTCTCCAGTCATACGGTACAACCCCTGAGTTTACAGAGTCATTAAAAATTCTTGCTAATGGGCTTGCAATTTCATGTGCCAGTTCCTTTAATATTCTTGGATGAAGATTATCTGGGCCCCCCCGATTTAGTCTCATTAAGCTGTTTGAGTTTGGCTTCTACCTCGGATGTGGTAATATCTACCTCCATATCCTCATTCGTCATCCTACCATTATCCCTAAACTCCTCATTAGCCTCATTAAAGACTGAGGCAATGTATTTGTTTAGATATTGGGCCATGCCTAATTTATCCTTAACCTCCACTCCATCCTCAGTGTTTAGCGGTCCCACTTCTTCTTTCTTTTCTTCTTATTTATATGGCTATAGAACCTTTTTCTATTGGTTTTAATTCCCTTTGCAAGGTCCAACTCTACATGGCTTTTGGCCTTTCTCACTTTATCCCTACATGTTCTGACCTCAATAAGGTAGCTTTCCTTGCTGATCACTCCCATCTTCCATTCCTTGTAGGCTTTCTGCTTTTTCTTAATCACCTCTCTGAGCTGCTTGCTCATCCAGCTTGGTCTACAACTCCTGCCTATGAATTTTTTCCCCTTTCTTGGGATGCAGGCTTCTGATAGTTTCTGCAACTTTGACTTGAAGTAATTCCAGGCCTACTCCACCTTTAGATCCACAAGTTCTTCAGTCCAATTCACTTCCCTAACTAATTTCCTTAATTTTTTAAAGTTAGCCCTTTTGAAATAAAAAACCCCTGGCAGGCCGGGCCAGTTTGTTTACCTGCCGCGTCTGCAGGTTCGGCCGATTGCGGCTCCCACTGGCCGTGGTTCGCCGTCCCGGGCCAATGGGGGTGCGGGTAGCAGCGCGGGCTGAGGGATGTGCTGGCTGCTGCTTCCTGCTGCCCCCATTGGCCTGGAGCGGCGAACCACGGCCAGTGGGAGCCGTGATTGGCCGAACCTGTGGATGTGGCAGATAAACAAACTAGCCCGGTCCGCCAGGGTGCTTACCCTGGCGGGCCGCGTGCCAAAGGTTGCTGATCCCTGGTCCAGAAGCAGGCAGCTGCCTTGGGAGGTTGTGCAGACTGCAGGTGACTTTACAAAATGCTGTGGCTTATTTTGTTTAAGTATGGGCCCTGGATTTCAATGGTATTTAACTATATGTGGTGACCTAAGTTTTACAGTCCTTCTCTTTTAGCTAGAACATCACGAAAAAGCTGTACTTGAGTAAATTTCAAGTTTCACTTCTAAATTGCTATGAAGTATTTTTCAGCATATATTGAAAGCAATCACATCCTTTTTCTGTACAAAAAATAATTCATTTCCCTTATCAAACCTTACATGCAGCCTTTTCTGTAGCGGTTAGTGGAGCAATATTCAGGACAAATTTGTGTAGTCTTGTTACTCTACAGTCTGCCCAATTTTCTTCAAACTTACTGTTCAACCTGTAGAGTAAAACGGCTAACTTTCAGACCAAACCAGTGTGACTAGCCAAAGTTTTAATAGGGCAAAAACAATGCTTATAATAGAGCTCTGTAAATTTTCTTGAAGCCATTTAGATATTTGTCATCTTTTGGCACTGTTTATAATAAAATATTTTAAGTTTGATAAACATTCAGTGCTACTTGAATGAAGCTGCATCAGTGGTGATTGGGGTCTAATGTTTTAATGACCAGCTATCTAACTGAAATAACTTTAACTTATGAAAGTGAGCCAATGTTAAGTCATACAAACATTTTCAAAAATCCAGTAAGTCTTTTTGTCTTCAAACAAGTGTAATTAATTTCTTAAATATGGAAATGTCTGTTCACTTTCTTCCTTATTGGTCTACTTTAAAGAGGTTGGGGCTTTAGACATGTCCATATGTAACTTTCATGCTTAAGCCTGTGATTATGTATTCATAAATATACAGTAAATCTAATTTATACTGCTAGTTCCATCATGGACAATCTAAAGAGATTTACAAATGATATGCAGGGATCCCTTTCTCCAATAGAGAGGTGAAATGTTGCAATTGTGTAACGTCATTTTGCTGTGTTGGCATCTTCAGATGGAATGTGCAGGATGTAATTACCCAACGTTTAATATCTGCACTCTTGTCAAAAATGCCATAGGATCTCCACTGGCAACAAATGATCAGAATCTCTTACAACTCATGAAAGATTGCACTTTCAATAGCGTAGTGCCCCTAACATTATGCTGGGCTCAATACTGACTACCAGGAAAGAGTGCCTCTTACTGAAGTGTAAACATAGTTTCTTATAACAACTGCGTTTACCATAGAAGCTTTCTGTCCTAGCACTGGGATACTCTTGATGAGCTTGTATGATCAGACAGGATTTCAGAATAGGCAGCAGATTTAAAACAAACAAAAGGAAGTATTTTTTCACACAACGCACAGTCAACCTGTGGAACTCTTTGCCAGAGGATGTTGTGAAAGCCAAGACTATAACAGGGTTCAAAAAAGAACTAGATAAGTTCATGGAGTATAGGTCCATCAATGGCTATTAGCCAGGATGGGCAGAGATGGTGACCCTAGCCTCTGTTTGCCAGAAGCTGGGAATGGGCGAGAGGGGATGGATCACTTGATGATGATGATCTGTTCTGCTCATTCCCTCTGAGGCACCTGGCATTGGCCACTGTCGGAGGAAGACCGGATACTAGGCTAGATGGACCTTTGGTCTGACCCAGTATGGCTGTTCTTATGTTCTTTAGTGGTTTCTTTGTGTTTAAAAACTTGACTGAATTTCTTTTGGTTCTTGTGAAAGCTACCAGTTAATAACCTTGAGGACAGAAGTCATATGTTTATCTGCAGGATATGTACAGGGGCAAGGGAAGCTTCTGCACAACTCCCTGAGGGCAGGTCTACACAAACATGTAGTTTGCAGCAAGCTGGGGTATGAATCTATCCCACACTAGCTGTCCATGTGGACCCTGATGATGTGCACTAATGAACTAGACATGCTAGGTAACTTGACTAAGTCACATAGGAAGTCATTGGCAACACAAAGAATCAGACCTTGTCTCCATAGTCCTAGGCTTGCTAACTAACCACTGTACCATCTTTCCTCTATGCAAATACTCTGCTGTACCATACTCTGGAGCAGTGGTTCTCAACCTATTTACTGTTACGGGCCACCTATGCGGCTCACAATGAGTTATCTGGGTCGCATCCAATACTACCTGTATGGCCCTGAGGATGTCACATGGGCTGCATTTCTGTGCTGATTGGGCCGTAGGCTGAGAACCACTGCTCTGTAGTGACCACATTTTAGTATATGAGAGGTAGTTCAGTAATTGGCCTGTGTGATACTTCCAAGAAGGCTACAAACTCTGGTGATAGCTTTTTGTAATGTAATTCTGAACAGCTATTAGATTGTAACGCCTTGCATGAACTGCCAACTTACGCTGGATATGAGCGAGTAGCCTAAAGGTTAAAGATGATTCCTTTACCAATTCCATCAACTGTTCAGCCCCTACTGATAACTGGAGCCTTTAATTATTTGAGAAATCACTTCTCTCTCTTGCTCCTGTAGGAAAAGGTGACAAAACATCCACAAATGACAAAAAGAACGTGAAGAAGTCTGTGGTGTCAAAGCCAAACACCATCAAGTCTATGTTTATGGCTAGTGCAGGGAAGAAAAACACAGATGTAAGTTGTATTTTTATATTTCAATTTAAATGTCCTACGTTCAGTTAGACTTGTAACTTTATTTTCTTTACTCAAAGTGACAAATGTTTTGGTTACTACTGTTTGACTTTTTAAAATCAATTGGCACACAAGCCAGACTTAAAAGCTCTCACTGGGAGTTTCTGGGTGCTGGTCACTCTTGAAAATCTGGCCCATGGTATGTGGGGAACATCCTTATTCTGTATTGACCGAGTCTTTCGGTTCAGTTAAGTGCATATAATTTTTCAGGTATCTAAAAGGGTGTCATAAGGAGGAGGGAGAAAACTTGTTCACCTTAGCCTCTGAGGATAGAACAAGAAGCAATGGGCTTAAACTGCAGCAAGGGAGGTCTAGGTTGGACATTAGGAAAAAGTTCCTAACTGTCAGGGTGGTTAAACACTGGAATAAATTGCCTAGGGAGGTTGTGGAATCTCCATCTCTGGAGATATTTAAGAGTAGGTTAGATAAATGTCTATCAGGGATGGTCTAGACAGTATTTGGTCCTGCCATGCGGGCAGGGGACTGGACTCGATGACCTCTCGAGGTCCCTTCCAGTCCTAGAATCTATGAATCTATAAGTCTATATAGCTAATACAGCTGTCTAATATTTTACAGAAAACTGTAGACTTGTCCAAGGATGACTTACTCGGGGATATTCTGCAAGATCTGAATGCTGAGGTAAGTAGTTGAATTCTGAGGGGTATAATGTACTGAACACCCCAATCAATGATGCAATTCATCCAGTTATCAGAAGTTTTTAAGAAGCATTTTTTTTTTTTTTTTTTTAAATGGACCTCCTAAGATTTTATTATTTTAGTGAAGTCATTCCCAACTCTTGGCTGTGACAATCTTTGTCCCATCTTTAGGTACACAAAAAGTCAGGTCAGCCAATGACTCTAGTTAATCAGCATGACAGTACTCATTACTGTATTAGCAGACTTCCTTAAAATTACAAAGACTAACACTTTCAACAGCACGTATCACAATGTCCTTTGGGGTTACTGAACATGACACATCATTAATATAAATTAAAATTACAAATATATTTTAAAAAAAATTAGAACATTGCCATGTCCTTCATTTAGCTTTACTATAAATATTCGATACTCATTCCCACGCTATCTGATACCTAACTATAGGGTTATGTCACCTTATTAACTGTTACTAACATCACAAACATCTAAATAGTTCAGGAAATGCTTTCATGCTATCCTGATATTGTCTGCTGTTGCAAGGCATATGTGAAATACCAGATTTTGTGGAGGCTAAGTGAGAAAAACATTTTAATACAAAATACTTTCATCATATTTTCACTTAAGTACACAGTCTGTTGTTGTGGAATAGTTGGCTAGTTAATAAAGCTTTGGAGTTCACTAATACGCTTCTCCTCATGTTCTAAATGGCATTGTTTCTTTCTGCATTTACGGGCACAAATGTACATCTTAAAATTGTTTGTCCACTAGTATGCCAGTGCTGAAAACCAACTACAAATTTTCCTAAATAACACATTCTCCTGAACTATTGTCTACTGAAACAGTTTGTAAAGCCAACACGTTAAACTTATGACTCTCAGCCATAACTGAATTTTTAACTTTTTTTGTCATACTTCATATTAGCTGTAGTCTAAAAAAATCTATGGTGAGGGATGAGAAGCATTTGGAAAACTTTCCATTGCATCCACACATTTTTAACTGAATTTCTTTGGCTCTTGTGGGTCTCCAAACTTCATCCAAAGATTTGTGTCGTCAAGACTCCTTCTTTTATTTAAATGCCAGCAGTGTGCTTGATGCTGTATAAAATACAAGGAAAGGTGGTCCCTCTACTGTGACTTATGATCTAAAATTTTTATTGATTTTCTTTTCACACCAAGATTTTGTATAATACTATATTATCAGTTGGCATAATACTCCCACTGCGGCTTTGACTGTTCTGGACCCCCTTGGCCATTGTTTTGCATTCTCCTCTAGTTTAGGAGCAAGCTATGTAGCTGCTTTTAATGATTTTTTTTTTCCAATTAATTTTTTCACAATGTTAACACTCAAAACCAAAACCGTATTAGAATCCTTGTGGCCTTGTCACTTCAAGTAAATTGGAAAAAAAAAAAGGTTGTTTAGTTGGTGTGGAAGGATTTCTCACTCGCTTAGGGAATTTGAGGAAACGCTCCCAAAGTGAAGACACTTCATAGTGTCACTTTTTGTTGGGACTCTGATACTTTTGTAGTAGCTGATGCAGCATGTATGCGGGGTTAGAGGGTGAAGAGAAAAATTGGGTGGCTTTTTCCTTCTCTGTCAAATTCTACTAATGCAGGGCCATTCTCATATTTTCCCTCCTTTTTAGACTGTTCAGATAACTCCACCTCCAGTTGTAAAGCTAAGAAAGAAAAGACCTGTTGGAGCGTCACTGAATCCTTTCTCTGTACAGTCACCGGCCCATACGGTAAAGTTGCAGATCCAAATTTTTTTTTTTTTTTTTGCTTATGACTAACTTATGTTTTGAATAAGTAAGCTCCTGTTTTATTATTGGCTTCCTTAGTAAAAACAGAAGGTCTGTAATTTCCTTTTTGGTACTCTAATACAGAGATGAAAATACACTTTTGCGTCTGACTATCTTTGTAGTTGGGTGAGTACATACTGTAGATTCAGTTATCACTTCACCATTCATACAGTGTTTTAGAGTTACATGACACGTTACTCATAGATGCTTCATATGCACTAAAAAGCTTATGTAAACAAGTTATGACAAAAGGATATTGAGGGGTTTATTAAGGGAGAATGAATTTTTAAATGAATTTGGAGGAAAGGATGCTTGGCAGATGGGGCACAACGAAATAGGCATGAAGTGAGGTGGGAAAAGGAGATAAGGCAGAAAGATTGGAAAGAGCTTGTAAAAAGAGTGGAAAATGGAAAGATGTAAATAGGGGAAATATTATTTAGGAATGTGGGTGCATATACGGCCCTTCGGTTTTGCAGAAGGTGCGGAACCAGTGGAAGTCTTCTGATAGGGGTAGAATGGTTTGAGAGGAGGCATGAAAGATGACTCTAGCAGCAGCTTTTTTGGAGAGACTCACTGCTAAGAAGCAGGGAGACTGGAGGGTAGGCTATTGCTATGTCATAAGCCTTGATATATGGGCAGTGGTTTTAGCAGTGGAGACAATGAGGTGAGGACACAATTTTTATGTGAAAAGACTTAGTGAGAGCTGCAAGGAGGAGAGAAGAGTCAGAGACTGAGGCTCAGGACCTGGAAGTGGGACAGATAATGGAATTGTTGATGGAGAGATACAGAAGCAGGAAAGCTGAGAAGTTAATGTTTGAGGAGGGGAGTTTGAAATGGCAGCTGGGCATCCAAAAGATGTCAGGCAATAAGATACAAGACTGGGTGGAGAGGAAGCCCCTGGAACTTGAAAATCAGCTTGTGTAGTAGAAGTAGATGAAACCGTGGGATAGATAAGATCACTGAGGGGGAAAAGGAGGGGCCAGAAAAGAGAAACTGAGGAACAACAGCGGGGAAGAGGGTCAAAGGGATTTGGAGATGGCTGATAAATGTTCATGGGCATAGAAAGAGTTGTAGCATACTGGGACAGTTTAGTGAGGGATACGATTGAAGGATACAAATGGTATAGAGGAGATAAATCCTATTTGCCATTAAAATACAAGAACGACAGTGCAATTGGAAAAACAAATTAAAAACTGAAACATACTCTTACACCATGAATAATTAACTTGTGGATTTGTCACAAGAGATTATTGAGACTAAATTTAATAGGATTAAAAAATTATCCATATATCTAAATGAGGATCTGAACCCTGATGCTTCGGGGGTGTTAGTCAACTACTAGCTGACATAGGTTAGGAAGAAATTTAGCCATCAGGCACGCTCTTCCATAATTGTCCATGCTACTATTTTCCTCTGAAGCATATGATACTGTCCTTTGTCAGAATGCTGGATTAGATGCGCCACTGGTCTGATGGTCCTATAACAGCGGTTCTCAAACTTTTGTATTGGTGACCTCTTTTACACAGCAAGCCTCTGAGTGCGACCCCCCCCCCATATAAATTAAAAACACTTAAAAAAAGTATTTAATGCTATTATAAATGCTGGTGGTGAAGCAGGGTTTGGAGGTGGAGGTTGACAGCTTGTGACCCCCCCCCCCATGTAATAACCTCACTGCCCCCTGAGGGGTCACCACCCCAAGTTTGAGAACCCCTGTCCTAGAAGGAGCAATTGGAGGCTTTTAAGAGCTGTCCACAAGGTAGAATGAGAACCAGGAAGAAAGTCTTGGAAACTAAGTGGAAGTGAGCAGGTAGTGACTAACGTTTTCAATTTCAATAGGCAGATCTGGAAACATAAGTATAGAGAAGTGTCTATTTGGTTGAAGTAGGAGGAGTCATTAGTACTAAAGGGTACATCCAGACTACCCGCCGGATTGGCGGGTAGCGATTGGTCTGTCGGGGATCGATATATCGTGTCTCGTCTAGACGCAATATACCGATCCCTGAACGCGCTCCCGTCGACTCCTGAACTCCACCAGGGTGAGTGGCGGTAGCGGAGTCAATGGGGGAGCCGTGGCCGTCGATCCCGTGCCGTGAGGATGGGAGGTAAGTCAAAATAAGATACGTCGACTTCAGCTACGCTATTCCTGTAGCTGAAGTTGCGTATCTTACATCGACCCCTCTGCCCCCCCCCCCCCCCCCCCCCCCCCCCCCCAGTGTAGACCAGGCCTTAGTGAAGGTGGCTTCAGGAGAGTGCAGAAGCTGAATAAGAGAGGATGCGGTTGGAGAAGGTAACAGTCTAGGATTCTGGAGAGTAAGAAAGGGAATAGGCAACTTTGATCAAAGGAAGGCTTATTTAAGACAGGAATAATGATTGGGCAGCTGGGGTAGATGAGGTAAAAAGAAATAGAGAGAATAAATATTAACATTTTTTAAACTTTATTTTAGTTTACAATAGTTTATTTTGGTTTACAATAGATCAACTGCACAGACCTGTTCTATTTAGTGGTTGACAGTGGAGCCTTAGATAGAGCATTAGACTGGGACTTGGGAGACCAAGGTTCTATTCATGACTAAGACCCTGGCTTGCTGTGACCGTGAGCAAGACACTTCATTTTCCTGTTCCTCAGTTTCCCCATCTGAACTAGATGATGACAGTAGTGAGGCCTTGCTCAATAAAGTGCATAGAACTATCACCAGTTATTGGAAGATCTCATGACTCCCCTCCCAGAACACCATTTTCAAGGTTAAAGGCAGGGGGGTAGGATGAGGTAGTTGCAGCTGTTCCAATGTTCTGTCTGAAGCTCTAGCTCTGAGTGGACCTTGTGGGCGGAAGAGAGGTTTTGGGAGCATGCAAAAGTGGAGTGAGAACATTTAGGGATTTTTTTTTTCGAAGCAGCAAGCCTCTAAATGCTTTGAGTTTGTGCAAATGGGAACTTTTGAGAGGCTTATAACTCCGCTAAATGTAACTGAATAACAAAAGGGGCCTGTCCCCTTATCAACTTCTAAATCTCTGCTTCAGAGCATAGGGAGGCTGGAACTCTTCAGTGAAATGGTTGGAAATCAATTTTAACATTAGGAAGACAACCTCTTTTTCCCCTAACCTTGCTGTTGGAAATGAATGGTCTTTGCTGAAACTTTAAAAAGACGTATCAGCCGGAGGTAGAAAGAGCCTGTAAAACTTCAGTCCAAACAGTTAGTTAGTTTGGCAAAGTTATAAACAACTGAAAAATTACTTGGGCTGCCTTAACATGGGCAGGGCCCCATGTATCCTGTGATTGTGTCGCTGCAGAATTCATTCCTTTGCTACATAATAATGCTCCAGAATCGGACCTTTCATTTGAAAATTGTTCTTGCCTTTATGGTTTCAGCGAGTACCCCCAAAATGTAAACAGTCTTAAATGATGCAGTGTCCTGTGTCTGCATCTGTAGAGTACCTGAAACTCTTAGGACTGAGGGGTGTAGCCTGTCCTATTCATCTCAATCAGGGCCCCGTGGAATTTGGATACTATGGTTACATAAACTGGCATTCACCAATTTGCTGCAGTTAGGCACACAACTGTATTTTCCCCCTGCCCTGCCATACCATACCTACCATTTCCCTTACAATTGTGAGTTAATTGGAGTACTGTGCGCACTCCCTGCACTGTTCCATGGAGCAAGTCAGAAGAGAGTTGAGGGAGCGAGAATTTAACTTCCTGGCTGTACCAATGTATGCTGGCAAACTAGGCTGCCTGGGGAGCTAGAGAGAAGCTGACAGCCAGCTCCATTCTTGCCTGGCACAAATGGGGAGAAGGAGGTTCTGAGGTCAGCCTCTTCGCTCCTGAGCTGAGGCCTGGGGAGAACAGCAAAAAACTCATGCCCAAAAATAATCAACAAATGCTGTCTATTAATATTTTCAACTATGACCCATAGAACTGTCTGGTTTTTGTTGTTGTTTTTTTTTTTTGGGTGTAGGTTTGGGAATAGAAATGGTGGTAGAATAAATGTTGCCATGGAATTGAGGAGTTGTTGCTGAGAAATTTGATGTTGTGTTGAAGAGTGTGCAAAACCCTGACTGTAGGCCTTATTGCCAACTTCATTTATAACTAAACAGTGTAATTCTCCTTTAAGGAAAATTAAAGTTTAATTTGTGCCTAAAATATTTTTTCAGGTAGTATCCCCTATAGTAAGGAAAGCTCCCACTACTGTCAAAAAGGAAGTTCTTTCTCCAACTACCGCTGATCCTAAGCATGCCACTTATGCAGCAAAACCTGTTGCAGTCCATAAAGAGAATGGTGCTGAATATACAATAAAAACTGCAGAAAATGAAGAACTGGTGAAGGCAAAACCAGAGAAAGCTATTCAAGGTATTTTAAAAATTCTGGCAACGGAGATAGCAAATGTAGCATGTTCTAAAATATTTTAGTTACCATTGGGGCTAAGTGTGAAAATAGCTTAAAGTGATTCATATTAATGTTGAATACTGTGTGTATGTACTAGAATTATATAGTATATTGTATTAATGATTCAACCCCTTAGTTCTTTTTACAATGCTTACAGAAAATGATCAGGGCATGATGGATTTTGAGGATGGGGATTTTGATGAACCTATGGAAGCGGATATACCAGAGACTGCCGGGGCCCTGAAGAAAGAACAGAAACTAGAAAAGAAAGAGACACAACAAGTGGATTCTGTGAAGGAAGATGCATCCTTTTTGTAAGGATCTGTGGTTGCAAAAGACCTTTTTTTGCTGAAAGAAGTTATATTTATGACTTTATTATATTTGGACTTGATATTTACAGATATTTACTTGATATTTACATATTTATTTTTCTCAAGGCATTGTTCTGTGATTGCACTGTAGGGACTTGAAAAACGTGCATGTTGAAGGGAGTAAACTGGCTGACGGCTACTTAAGAAAAGGGATACTTCATGTTTCTGGGGATAGACAATTCCTGTCTGGGTAAACAGTGTAATGTTTTAGGTTAAGTGCTCAATGTATATTGCACAGAGCTGGTGATGTAATGTGGAAGTTTTAGACTGCACATCTTGGTGCTGATGAACAGAAATCAGGAATCACTAAAGATTTATATTACTGAATACCTTATAATTGCCCAAAACATTAATGATAGTTAAAGCCAGTTTCCCGTGACAAATAGTCATGCCATTGAAGTTCAAAATGCGAAAGTAATGATTTTAAGGTCCTTTTCCTATATAGGAGAGTTTTGAAGCACTTTTTAAATACTGTTTCATGACTGAAAATTATGACAAGTCAAATCATGGTTTGAAGTGTACAAGGTGCTTCACAGAAACAAATAATGACTCTGTCCCACCCCAGATAGCTTACAGTCGAAGGTAGCCTTGCAAACTGATGGGATTACTCATGCTGTAAAGACTTGCATGTCTGGGGTCTGTCTAATAGTTTAAAGGAACTATTAATGCCTGTCTGCTGGATATATGAGAGCTATATTTGTGGGGGAAATAATGGAGTATTGCATGTTAGCTGGTTTCTTGTGACAGATCTTAAGTCATGTCTTCTCAAAAGTTATGGTTGTAGTGAACATACAACCTTACTCATCTGTTTTTCAATACTTGCAGAAGTTCTTTTCTCCCTGATATGTCCTGTTGGACCAGAATGGATAAGGATGAAATTGATTTAGTTGCCTCAGAAGTTCAAGTGGACCCCAGTTGCCTGCCACTAGTGAACGGGGAAGATGGTGATCAAGTCTTTAGGTTTTATTGGCTGGATGCTTACGAAGATCAGTATAGTCAACCAGGTATCTACACATTTAAAGACAGAAAGTAATTCTCTCGTTCCTTTCAATTTAATCTCGCCATGAAGGCAGGGATTTTCAAAGGAGCCCAAGGAAAGACTAGCTGCTCTCTATGCCTGTTGAAGTTCTCCCCCGGAAGCTGCTTTGTAACTTGCACAGGGTTATTCCTCCCTCTGTATGATATAACTACTTGACAAAATGAAAGTCTTGTCTATTATTTGTGGTCTGGTATAGTGTTAGGGGGGAAGGAAAAGGATTTTAGTGCTGTTAAATCTGGGGAATATGCTGACATTATTTGCCTCTGTGTGCTAGGAATGAGTTGATGTGTCTAACTTCTTGGCTAAGTGGTACAATAGTTAAATGCACCGTTCTCTTCCTTTTGAAAATATAATCTGAAATCCTGATTAGATCATTAGTTTGATCTCCTAGGTCCTGATAAACCTGTCTTTGTATTACAAGTCACATGTGTTGTAGGAGGTGGAGGAGAGGAGGCAGACTGGTTGTGGAATAGATATTATTGTGCAAAAATCTTCATAAAGCTCTGCCAAGATACTTCAGTCCTATCTCACTTATTTCATATCTCTAGTGCTTTTGGTCTCTGTCTTCCATGCATATCAACCTCATTCACGCTCTTAGTGGTAGAGGAAAAATACCTATTTTGGAGGCTTTGGACTAATGCTCCAAGTGCTAAGTCTAATGCATTTTGCAGTTACACCTTTCTTAACTTGTGGTGCCAAGGGGTTAAATATGAGTCGGTCTCTTTGTATGCTGAGTGCGTTGAAAAGCTTCCTGATGAGAGCAGCTAGTGATCACTGAAGCCGTGGTGAAATCAATGATTCTAATATAAAATAGCTACTCTTAAAGACCCTGTTATTGTTTTTTACTTCTGTCTTGGCTTGTAAGTCAGTGGTTGCTGAATGGAACACAATTATGAAAGGATTTATTTTTCTTGCATGTTTTTCTTGCATAAGAATGTCCTTATTTTGACATTTCAAGGTTGAATAATAGACTGCACCTGGTTTCAATTAATAGTGCAAGGGGGGAAGTAAATTTTGACATTACTTTTTGTTTAACAGTTTCATTATTTTTATGGAAAATGGGCATAAACAATGTCAAATACATTGCTTGAAATGAAGCTGGACTGCAAGATAAATAAGACTCTCTAAAATCATTTGTAACTTTGAAATACAATCTGTTTTCCTTCATGGTTCCCTTAAACTGTTTTATGGAAAGAATTGGAAGGCTGTACTCCTATCTTAAAAATTTGATGAAATAAATAATAAAATAAAACAATAGGTGTCCATCTAGTGCTCTGGTCACCTGTCCTATAGCTTAAAAAGCTAAGAATAAACCAGGAACTACTCCTAAATATCTCAACCTTAGCCCACACCCTTATTAAAGGCTTAATGAAGGAGGTGAGGGAGAAAGAGAACCTGGGCTCTGGTAGACCAAGGGAGCAAGTCCTGAAATTGAAGACCTCCCCAAAATTGTTTATATTGAAGGAGCTCCAGCTCAAACACCTCTGATCTCAGTAATGGCAGTACGTTGTAGGAGGAGAGAGAAATCTCCAGTAACCAAGTCCAAAATTATGAAGCGATTTTTCTTATAGGTTAACACTAGGCTTATCGGAATGTGATTTTTATTTTTTAATAATTTTGGGTGGGTAATGTTTGTTTTGAAGCATTTTTTAACATTTTTATAAATGTAGATTTTCATGGTTGTGGGAGATTATGGGAAGAGGTTCAGATGATAGCGGGGAGTCAGACAATGATTGAATGACAGTACATCTTGAGATTCAAAAAGTGAAGGCTTTATAGCTGTTAAAACAAATTGTCAACATCACATTGTGGATAAATGTAAAGTAATGCACATTGGAAAAAATAACCCCAACTATACATACAATATGATGGGAGCTAATTTAGCTACAACTAATCAGGAAAGAGATCTTGGAGTCCTCGTGGATAGTTCTCTGAAGACGTCCACGCAGTGTGCAGCGGCAGTCAAAAAAGCAAACAGGATGTTAGGAATCATTAAAAAAAGGATAGAGAACAAGACAGAGAATATCTTATTGCCCTTTTATAAATCCATGGTACGCCCACATCTTGAATACTGCGTACAGATGTGGTCTCCTTATCTCAAAAAAGATATACTGGCATTGGAAAAGGTTCAGAGAGGGACAACTAAAATGATTAGGGGTTTGGAACAGGTCCCATATGAGAAGAGATTAGAGGCTAGGACTTTTCAGCTTGGAAAAGAGGAGACTAAGGGGGGATATGATAGAGGTATATAAAATCATGAGTGATGTGGAGAAAGTGAATAAGGAAAAGTTATTTACTTGTTCCCATAATATAAGAACTAGGGGCCACCAAATGAAATTAATGGGTGGCAGGTTTAAAACAAATAAAAGGAAGAAGTTCTTCACACAGCGAAGTCAACCTGTGGAACTCCTTGCCTGAGGAGCTTGTGAAGGCTAGGACTATAACAGGGTTTAAAAGAACTAGATAAATTCATGGAGGTTAAGTCCATTAATGGCTATTAGCCAGGATGGGTAAGGAATGGTGTCCCTAGCCTCTGTTTGTCAGAGGGTTGAGATGGATGGCAGAAGAGAGATTACTTGATCATTACCTGTTAGGTTCAGTCCCTCTGGGGCACCTGGCACTAGCCACTGTCAGTAGACAGGATACTGGGCTGGATGGACCTTTGGTCTGACCCAGTATGGCCGTTCTTATGTTCTTAAAACAAATTGTCAACATCACATGTCAGACTATACAGAGTAAACATCCTTGTTCTTAAGCAGCAATTTTCTCAATTTTTTCTGTCTGTAAATTTCTACCATCATCAATAGAAATATTTGTGTGTGTGTGTGTGTGTGGGAGGGGGGAGTGAAATTGACATTTACCAATAAAAATATAATCCTTCCAAGCCTAGTTAAAACCAAACTCCTGAATTCTACCCAGAAGCTGATTGAAAGGTAACAGCACTGGTTTAATGTGCTCCCATCTTACAAGTCCACTTAAGTGGACTGCAGCATTCTGTGCTAGCTTCAGCTTTCAAATGTTTCCAAGGTGTAATCCCATGTAGCGTGCATTATAGCTGGTTCGTTGTACCTTTAATCTTGCGGTGATGCAGATGTGGATAATTGTGGCAAGGTCCACAATGAAAAGAAAAGATTGGTGAAAAAGCTGTCTTGGCTACACCTGTTACCTGGACATCCAGGAGCACCCTGAATTTAACAGCATCCCCAAGTTGTCCACCTGTACTGTTGCACTCCCTTTGTGAGGGGCGCTGATGTAAGTTCCACCAGCTTCCAGTTGCTTCCCCTAACCTCACCGTTCTCTCTATAACCTGGATGGAGTCACAACCAGCTAGCTGTCATCCAAGACCTAAGTTTTCTAGGCACTGGGAAATGGATCCCATTGCTCCAGCAGAGTCAAATGTGATGGGGATGTAGAGCTGGGTACCATCAGCATACTGAATGCAATGAACTCTCCTCACTAACCCTCCTAGTGGCCCCATATACTCACTGAACAAGACAGGTGACAAGCACCGTGCACGAGAGCCCTTGGGGCAGGGGAATTATTTCATTGACCGTGAGTTGCAGGAAACATTGTTGTACTTGTGGGGTCTTGTTTTTTGTGTGTGCTGTTCTTTTGAGCAGTGAATTGTCAAATATAAAAACTTTCTGGATTTTACTGTGGGAATTATTGCTGCGAAAATTCATAAGTTTGGGACTTGAAGCTGATAAATCTATTGAGTGAAATTTTCAGTGGATTGCAAAAGGCCTTCCACCAACTTAATTGGGTACAAAGGAGTCTGAATCTTGGAGAACTGAGTAAGGAAAAAACTTCATTGTCCTGGTTACCATCTAACACACCTCCATCTGGGAGGTTCAAGCCTTTTATGGAATACTTGACACCACACGCATTTCAGCATTTTCTTTCTTCACCTACTTTTTCTTTAGGGGGAATGAGAAGCTGTAAGAATAGAACTCTGAGAACAGAAGATAGTGGTGTGATGCCATCTTCTGTGCTTGACATTGCTTGGTTACCACAGTTTTGGAGGTGGATGGTTAAGGACCACATAAGTACTAGGTTTATAAAGTGATTGCTTAGATATTTGTAGAGCACTGTCTGTCAGCAGATGGAACTGTCAAGGACTACAAATTGGAAATTACTTTGGTCCTGTGGGTGAATTAATCTTTCTTTAGTTAGTTATACTTGAAGTGGCAGCTTTTCTGCTAGCAGCATCTTTGAGAATTTTTGGTTTCCTAATATCTAGTCTTTTCTTCCTTTCTCAGGTGTGGTATTTCTGTTTGGTAAAGTGTGGATTGAAGCAGCAGAGACGTATGTCAGCTGTTGTGTGACAGTGAAAAATATTGAGAGAATTATCTATCTACTGCCACGTGAGATGGTAGGCCTGAATTTCAGTGGGCTGCTGATGGGAAGCTATTGAAGTAAAATGCCTTCTGACTTGCTTACATGGAAAAAACAAGCTGTGCTGATTGTTGCATATGTGATATTCATTATGCAGAGTAGAATATCCCTGATTTTCAAGCTATAATGATGTAGCTAAGAAAAGGGCAGTTCCTTTACCTGAAACTAATGGTGGCAGTTTTCTTGGGTGATCTCCTGCTTACCATGTTAAGTTTCCAAGTCCTCTGTTTTAAGTAGTATTTAATAAATTTTACATTTTGTGAACTCATTTATTTTGGTGCCATAATACTCCTTGGCTACAAGCTTTGATTGTATGTCAGTTTACCCATTAAAATAACCTTGAATTTTGCTGACTTGTTAATTTTGTTAATGTTTGTTGTCACAATCTGTAAATGAAATAATTTGATTTGACTCTCTTTAAAGCAAATGGACCTAACTTCTGGTAAAGAGACAGAGAATCCTGTGACTATGATGAACATCTACCAAGAATTTAATGACCAGATTGCTGTAAAATACAAGATCATGAAGTTCAGATCTAAGGTTCGTCTCTTTTGTACATCACGCTCAGTCCCTTCCTATTTTTCTGTTTTTGGAGGGCAGAAAACTTTCAGTGGATAGCCATGCTGGTTGGTGTGTGGGTGGAAAAGGCAAAGTTGTAACTTGCATGTATGTGTATGTTTTCCTGTAACAGTGACTATCTGAATCTTTCTCAACTCAAGAATAAGTGAAACAGAGTTTGGAGATGGGCCTAGTATGGAACAGAATTTTAACCCCAAAGCTAATATGATTAATGGCAGAATATTGATAAAAGGTCAGGATCATCATCTCTGTGTGAGAAGTCAGCTTTCTTTGAGATCTAAGGCTGTGTCCTGACTTTTCTTACTAGGACTTGTTACATTCAAAACAGTTTTCAAATATGGTTATGACCAAACAGTTTGTATACGTGCCATCATGATTATAAATGTTAAACCTTGCTAAAATCCTGCCAACGGATTAGTTAATAGTACAGTTTTAGCCAACACAACTTTGTGAATCAATTTTGTTTCTATATTGTGAACCCCAAACCACTAATGGACCTGGTTCAAGGTCTTCCTTCTTCCCCCCGTCTCTGCCACATATACTAGAAGTCAGTGTACTACATTTATGTAGCACTTCCAGTTTACTGTAATGCACTTTTTTGCCCAAAGCTTGCTGAGGGATACACACAACATGGCTTCACTTACTAGAATAGAGAAAGTGTACATGCCCAGGTGAGCTAGCAACTAAACAGCAGTCCTTCTGTGATGCTGACAGTACTGATTCCTGGACTGCCAATATTCATTTCTCTTAAACATCCTAATTTTTGTAATGAATATTGAGCATAAGGGGGAAAAACCACCTGTGGCCCTCTGGATAGGGCACTGGGCTAGGACTTGAAATTTGGTTCTTTGATTTTTCTTCCATTGACCTGCAGTGACATTGAACAAATTGCTTCACCTTGTTGCTTATTTTTTCCCTTCCACTTTTTATCTGTTGTTTTTCTCTTTAGATTTTAAGCTCTCTGGGGGCAGGAACTGTTCTTTATGACTGTACAATGCCTAGCACATTAGGGGGTCCTGATCTTGGCTGGACCTTCTAGACACTACTGTACTGTAAACCATTAATAAGACAGATAACATTCCCTTTTTGTGGGAATTAGGATGCCATCTTGAGATTTAAACTGTTCATTGGATCCCTAGTTGTGCTTGACATCTGTGACTCCACTACGTATTTGGGCCACTCCACAAGCAGTTAAGAGAATGGTGAAGCGGAAAAGGTTGCTCTATTGGAAAATAGAGGCAGACACGATGTGGGATAGAGAATAGGTGTCCGAGGAATCTGTTCATAAAGGTACAGTTCTGCAAAGCAAAATATGCAGAAATTGTTCTAGCAAGGGCATCACAAATTTGGACTGAAGTGCATTGCTAGAGCTGTGTGAGGAAGCTTATTCAATCACTTCACAAGCACCCATTAACTTTTCTTTTCCTTTTCCCTCTTTAATATGTGTGGATAAAATGCAAGTGTCTCTTTGCAGTCCAGACTTGGATGAAGATGAGTACAACACTAGCATCATGTTTCTTCAATTAAGTGCTCAGATGACTCTTCCTACTTTCTTGGAGTATCAAGTTGAGAGTTCACAAAGAATTACAGTATAACTTTGGGATTAGTTTTGATTTTCTTGGTTTAGTGATCAGTGCTGTCATTAAACCCTTGTGTAAAATGTTTGACAAGAGGTTTGAAAGGCAGAGGAAAACAGAGGAAGAATGAATAAAAACACAGGTGTGTAAAATGAGGGGAAAATCAAAATATTGATGGACAACTCTAAATGTTCTAAAGCATGATGGAAATGCAAGTGCTTCCCAAATGCCTCCTAAATAGCAAGTTCACCCAATAAATATCATACATCTGTGCAGCAATATGTAATCTAGTGCAATATTTTCAGCCTTCAATAGTGGACAGATTGCATGCTTCTTTGGCACATTCCAGCAACACATATTTCATCTGTTTCAGATTTTCTTATGATCAAAATAATTCTGACAAGTTTACCTTTGAATTTTTTTCACTGTTTCTACTTGTATGTTCTTATTATAATGTACTTGTACTTGTAAATGGGAAATGTAGGTGGGTAGTTTTAAGATTGGGTGTAAAGCAGGGATATGCTAGCTCACTGCTCAGGAAGAGAAATCTGGAGAACCCTGAAGTTGAGAAAATAACTAAAGTTTAATGAAGAGGGCTTCAGTAACAATGACTTGAAAGCATATGCTTTGGATTGTCCTTTGAAAAGGTGCTGAAGGATCAGAAGAACTTTATATAAAAAAAAACAAAACAAAAAAAACTTGTACATGTGCAGAGTGACAGTTAAAAGATGATACAGGAAGAGATAACAAAGATTAAAATAAAGATACAACTGCAGGTAGAGATTATAGATGTTGAAAGTGGGGTAAGCCACAGTGCAAAACCCTCTTTTATATAGGTGCAGTGTGTCTACACTGGGTGTTGCAGTTACCCCAGTACAAGTCTTGTCAGATAGACAGGCCTGCATTTCAATATGATGATGATGATAGCTTTATTCATTGCATAGCAAGATATCAAACAAAGGCCTTCTGTGTGAAGACCAAATACTGATCTGAGAGAGAGGACAAACAAATGTTGTATCGTACTGTTCAGATGGGAATTTGCTACCAGGTCTGAATTGACTTTTCTCTGTATATTAAGACTAGCTAGATGGGGAAGGCTAGGGGGAATGGTCTCCTATAAAGCTTTGAACACTAAATAAGCATACTTTAGCTAATCATAGTTCCTGCATTGCCAAAAAAGGATGGGAAAAATTTAATACCTTTAATCACAAAACTGCATATCATATGAACTTTTTTTTAAAGAACATGCCTTTTATTGAGGCATTAATACTTCAGTATTAAAACATGCTTGGCCTGTTCTTTATCTTTCAATAAACAAAACTACAGTAGTAAAAGGCTTGCTTTCTAGTTTGTCAATTCTTTGAAATTCTCCTCCCTCAAGTTGCCTTTGATTTCAATGGGAGCTGCAGGATCAGGCCCTAAGACACAAATACAGCTTTCCTTGAAGTCGATTTTAAAATTGTAAATTAGCTTCTCCAAAGCCAGTAGGCTTAAACAATTACTTACTTTTTTTAAAAAAAACGATTGGCTCTAAAATTTTGTCCTGTAGCTTTAATGTATATATTCAGTTCATCCATTAACAGGGCTATTTTTGAAATATTTGGAAGATGTTTTCATTAATTATTTCCTCCATTATAATCAATTTATTTTGAAAAAGGCATTGGCATCTGAAGTCAACTTGCTATAAAATTAATCTGCTTTGTTTTCATGTGCAGAGTGCATAGCTACAGTGGCTATGTGGATTTCTGGTTTGTGGGAAAATTTGGTTTTGTTCCAGTTCAGAGTAAAAATTGATATTTCCCAGAAACTGGAAATTCCATAAGTTTCATTTTTGAAAACACTACACATGATATTTCTGAAACAAAATATGCTCTTGGACACCCCAACAGCTGCTGACTGAAATTGATGTGATTAGCAGTAGCAAAACTGACAAGATTCTTTGAAGAGCAGCGGTGAAACTGACCAGAATCCTGTAAATTTCAGTTGATAGCTGGCAGGGCTTGCACTTTTGCAGCAGCATTGCTCAAAAACCTCTCCTTACAAAATGATTGAAAATACTTAAGTGAAAATATTGCTACATACCAAGCTGATGTGACCCGCTCGATAGAACTACATGTAATCCACGACCTGATGATTTATATTGGAACAAAGGGAAGATAACTTCAATAAGGAAGTTTTGAAACTTAACAGCCAATCATTGCTCCTCCGTGTCTAATTTCTGAAAGAACACTTAATGGGCAGATAGCATTTTTACGGCTCTTTACACTTCACTGTAGTTATGAACAGAGGCTTACATGCTCTCTTTTACTCCATAGTCAGGTTAAATCCACAAGAAGTGGTTTGAACCTATATGTTTAAAAAAGACAAGACAGTAGTGGAGTCCTGGTCTATGACTAGGGCCAGTAGGACCTATGGCAATACAAATAACGCACGCCACAAGTGACTCTTCACCATCTGTTTGCATAATGGGTGCAATGTGCTGTTCTCCAGCTGGTGCAATAGCACAGGATAGCCACGCAAATCCGGAATCCTTAGTCTCCAGGAAATTTTAACATAGTTCTGAACAGTAAGGCTGTGTCTATACTGTGCAGCTTACAATGGCGCAGCTGTGCCACTATAGCCGTGCCGTTGTAAGGCAGGCAGTGTAGCCACTCTTTGTCGCCAGGAGAGAGCTCTCCTGATGACAAAATAAAACCACTCCCGATGAGGGACAGTAGCTTCGTCGGCTTTGTCTACATCGGTGCTTTTCGTCATTAAAACTTTTGTAGTTTAGGGGTATTTCCCCCCCCCCCCCACCCCTGAGTGACAAAAGTTTTTTAACGATAAAAGTGCAGTGTGGACACGGACTAAGTGTGGTTGGAGCCTGCTTTTGCATCGCTAGTAACTTATGAACATGATGTTAGAGACCTACTTGTCCAATAGCAAAGGGAAGCTAAGCTTTATAGCTGCTGTAAGGAGAGTAATGAGATCAGATGAATGAGCATTTGCATCACGTTTGGTTTTTATTCCTTTTTTTCTCTTATTGGAAAGAATGAATGTTCAGTATACTGATATTTTAAAAAAAAGTCTTAGCACCTAATACATAGTATTTAAAATGTTTTTATTTTGCATAGAAAGTTGAAAAGAATTATGCTTTTGAGATCCCGGATGTTCCAGCAAAGTCTGACTACCTAGAAGTTAGGTACTCGGTGAGTAAAACTAATCTGATGAGAGGCCACATCACTGGAATAGTTCTATTGAACTTAATCTTATTTACATAAGTACATATAATAACAGAATTTTGTCCTTAACTTATGGCTACACCCACTTTGCAACATGTAAACTAGTTGCTTTTTATTTTTAAAATTTGTCTTTTGGAGCTTATTTAACTAGTGTTTTTTGTTTGTTTGTTTTCCTTATATCATTGATGTGCTGGCCAGTCCCTGCTGTAGCTAGTTAATTACAATGAAACTGAAAGTGAATAGCAAATTAAAACATTTTAAATCAGTATATCCTAGATCTACTAAAGCTTTCTATTTATCTCGGTGTTAGCTGCACTCCCCAAAAAATGAAACACGAAGAAATTAAAACAAAAATCTCATTCATCAATGTTAATGATGGAGGTATTTATTATGGAGGTATTTATTCCTGATTAGTCGGGCTTTCTTTTTTATTTTTTTGTTTACTTTTGTGCCCTTTGGCCTAAGTTAAACAATGTATTTAAATGTGTGTAACTTTAAACACCCAGGTGAGACTGTTCTCAGCCTAAAATCAGGCATATGCTTAAGTGCCTTGTGATAGTGAAACTTCCTATACACAAATGTCCTATTTGTATTGGTCTTTTATGAGGCTCCAGGGCAAGAGAAACTTTCTTTAGAAATGAGGGAAATACAGTAACAGAGACACAAGTTCCCAGCAGGACTCTGGGACAGGGATAGTAACAACTAATTTTAATCATTTAAAAAAAATTGACTAGGTTTCAAATTGACAGTATTCCCTTCTAAATATCTTTTGTTAATTGCTGATCTGGGGACATTACAGGCACCATCTTAATGCGTTCAGCCACGTTGCAGGGATTAAGGTCATATCTGAAGGGTAAAGTAAATGCATGTTAGCTGCCCAAAATGCTGCTTTGGCACTTCAGGAGCATTCTAATCTTATCGATCTGCAAACAGTGGATGTAGCTGGAAAGCTGTCAGATGCATAAAACAATATAATTAACTTGCAGTATTTATTTAAGCAGTTTCTATATTAAAAATGTTGCGTTATGTGGGTCATGGCTGATACCAACACACTCTTGTTCCCCATGTGCACACAGATTTTGGCGTGTACCTTTTTGGATCAATTTCCTGGCTTATGTGTAGGCTTGCAGATTTCCATTTTTATTTTTTTTTATAATTTCCACAGATAACGTGGGTTTATTTTTAAGCATTTTTTTCTTTTTTTTTCCTATTTAAATTTTCACAGTTGGGGAAAATTAAAGAGGAGGCCAGACAATTTTTTTTAATTACAGTAGACATTGAGTTTCAAAAAGTTAAGCTTTATAAATCATGAAAACACAAATTGTCAACATCATATGTCAAAATATACAGAGTAAATATCTTTAAATCAACAAATCATACCTGTTTTTACTTTTCATTCACTAGTTTGTAACAAGCCTAATTCAAAATTCAGTGGATTCTGACTCTTAAGTTCTCAAGCAGCATTTTTCTTTCTTTGCATTTCTGTACATTTCAGTTATTATTGATGGGAATACCTTTTCATTGGTTTGTGTAAGTTTGGTGAAATAGATGTTTGCAGATATTTACTGGTAAAAATGGAATTAATCAAAACCTACTTATGTAGAGTTTTGTTAAAACAATAGTCTGTATTATAGCAACCCAAGTAGTATCATTCTGATGAGACGGAGTTTCACTCCTGTGAAACTGGCACATTTCAGATATGGTTTAGTTTGTTTATACTGCTGCTTGAGCATAATATGTTGACATGCCTTTTTTTTTTTTTTTTTTTTTTAAATACAATGACTTATCCCTTTCTTTTGATTATGTCAGGCTGAATTCCCCCGGCTTCCTCAAGATCTGAAAGGAGAGACATTTTCTCATGTATTTGGAACGAACACTTCTAGCCTGGAACTTCTCTTGATGAGTAGGAAGATCAAAGGACCAAGCTGGCTGGAAATAAAAAATCCACGTATGAGGATTTGCATGTCAAATACTTAATAGATTGCTGAAAAATAAATTTGGAAGGGGATGGTAGATGAGTTGATCAGTACAGTTCTATCTTGTCAAATCTTTTAGATTAGAAGTCCTTGAGGGCAGTATTCTGAGAAGTGATGTTTTTAGATTTCGTAAACAGGACCTATTAGAAAGCCGTTTATTCTGAGAGGCAAGCAAGGTTTGCCTGTTTGGTCTGATTTCAATGTTGACCGCTCTTGAGCTGATTTCCTCCTTCGCTTCCTTCACCCCTTTCCCCCCCAATTCTGTACTCTCTGTTTTGTGCTCTTTGGGATTTGATCCTTCAGAATGTCATTTTTTATACAAAAAGGTATAGCCCGTGGGCAACTGCACCACAGTAGTAAGGTGACTGGGCTTCCTGTGATACCCCCTTAAAGAGGAGTGGGAAAGAAAAACTTGATTTGATTCTGTGACCGAATTTCTAAATGGTTCTGAGTGTCAGTTTAGCTCCAGTAATGCCACAGTGTAAAATGTTACAGGAATTTAGGCACTCGCCATGCTTGGCATAAGGTTAGTGTTTGATCATAAGTGTTTAATTTTACCTTTACTCTGACTTCTGGAACTGTTTCTGGATAATACCCAGTACAAATTACTCCATCAATAGTTTACACAAAATGACATGGTTGGAAACACCCCGTGTGCTTTCAACTTCGGTCATTGTTTGAGTGTTTGTCTATGGGGATCCCTCTCTGTGTGCAAGTGCACCTCATATACATTCAGAATCTTTGAATATTAGTGTCTCTGGAGCCATGCCTGCTCCCTCCATGTCTTCATGCTCCCAGCAACCCCAGGGCATAAAGGGCAGAGCAGCTGCAACCATCTCTTAGTTCCCTCTTACCAGCTGTGGCAGTGAGATGGAACCAGGCATTCTGCCTGCTGCCCCTTAGTCCATTCTCCAAATCTATCCTTATCTAGCTTATTAGGGTTAATTCCTTAAATATCTCCCCCATTTTCTTTAATTTTTTCTTTACGTTTATACTTTATTTAAAAAAAAAACCTTATTTTCTCTCCGCACTTTGTGCCACAACCACTTAAAATAGCAGTTTCAAATCCTGCCCATCTTGTGATTGGCTTATTCCCCGTCCAGACAGTTTGTTTTTGTCTTGGTGAGAACCTTCTGCCTAATTGATGCTCCATCTGCCAGTTGTCCCTTCTCCAGAACAAGAAAATCGAGAGAGGCTAAAATTGTGTCTTATAGAGCAGCCTGTGAGGGGCATTTCAGACCCACAAGAATGGGCATGGAGCTCCAAGATGGGACTTTCCACCTCTTAGTCTGTGTGCTCCTATGACATCCAGGATGCAACAGCAAAGGCTGGTATCCATAAGAAGTCAAATCTGGGACCGACTGGCCATAAAGACATGGTAGCCAAAGACAAGCTCAGCACTGTTAGCTGCTCCAGCAACAAAGATAAGTACTGCCTCTTCCACACTGAGGTAAGGTAGATCAGAGCATTGGATCAAACATGGTTCCTGGTACTGATCTTACTTCCTTGAGAAAGGAAAAGTTGAGAGGCCTCAAGGAGAGCTATTTCCTTTACACTCAGTTCTTTGGAGGAGAGTGAAGTCTTCTCGTACTAAAGGGGCAAGTGACACTGATTCAGCTTTCTTCTTGGCACTGAAGGGCTCTGAGGCTTCTCTGGTCCCTACATCTGATACAGATTCCTTTAAACCAAAAACTGAAATACTGACACTGTCAACTGAGGAACTAACTGTTGTTCTGGTTATTGCATTATTGGTGATGGAAGTTCTCTTTTTCCATACCATTTTTTCTACTGAGTGTGCATCATCTGGCACTGATTCAAATGTCTAAGCTCCTGGTACAGACCTTGCCTGAGAGATCAGCACTGCAGATAGAGGAGACCTTTTCCTGACCATACTTTCTTTCCCGTCCAGTGCTGCTGGGAGCCTTCACCTCATCACTCTCCAAGATCAGGAGATGATTCATTCCTCCAGACCAGAATCCCTCATTTCAGAGCCCCAGCTTACCCACCAGTTGGCAGGGGCCAGCTCACTGTATCCTAACTAACCTGATTAACCATAGGCATACAACTTTCCACTATGCCTATTTAGGCTTACTAGGGTGCTTTCAGAAGTGCGTCTCCTTCCTGATTGTTGCACAGATGTAGGTCTCATTCTCCGGTGGCCTCAGTTTCAAGACCTCCCACGGAAGTTCTCAGGGATGGGAGTGGATAAAGAGGAGTTAGGTCCTGAACCACTGGTCCGGTGCCCTTCAACTTCTCCCACAGACCCATCCTCATCATGTCCTGAAAAGGCTCTTTTGCCCCCATACCAGCTCCAGATGATTTCAGAACTTTTCAAGAGCTGCTATCTTGAATTGTTGATACCTTGGAGATTGAGACATCAGTGATTGTGGAAAAGGCCCATCAATTATTTGCTTTCCTCCTCTTTTGGGCAGTTTAGCAAGGCCTATAAATGAAGGCATTTTGGAGCCAGCTAAAGATATCAGGGCCCTGATATCCTCGCCCAACTGCAAAGCAAGTGGGAGGGAAAAAAAGATATTAAGTTTCATAGAGGGGCTTTCGAACCATTCTGTATACCTCTGACCCCGGTGTCTTTGGTAGTCCCTGTGGCATAGGAGAAAGCTAGGCAGCCTGGCCTACCACATGCTACTTCTGAAGATAAGTCTCCAGAAAGCTTGATCTCATTTGAAGGAAAGCTTACTCCTGCACTTTGCTCCAACTACTCATAGCAATTACTAAGCATTGTTCACTAAGTATGACTTTTTGGCATGGGACCAGGTTATCTTCCTCTGTGAATAAGCTTCCTCCAGAGGCTAAGGACGAATTAAAGGCTGTAATCTTTGAATGGCAACTGGTGGCAAAATCATCTCTACAAGTGGCTATGGATGTTTTTGATACTGCAGCTTGATCTGTGGCTTATGGCAGCTACAGTGGAGAGGCTTTATGGCTTGAAGTGTCAGGCATCACAAAGGAGATACATAACACCTTAAAGGAATTGCCCTTTGAGAGGGCAGACTTATTTTGCAGTTGAACAGATGAAGTCTTGCATTCCTTGAAAGACTCCAAAGCCACATTGACATCTGAACAACTTGCATATCAGGGCCATGGTATAAATACCCAGAGATTTCAATCTGAGTCCACCTATTCTCAACAATGGCCTCCTGATCCTCTGAGGATGAAACCCATGTGTACTTAAAGGAGGCCACCTGCTGCAGTCACCAGCCACTGTGACTTCATTGAAACAGCATGTTTGACATAAAGGTTAAGAGTCATAACCTAGCCAGACTAGAACCATCCCTGAACCCTATCTTTGGATGCCATCTTTTCCTATTTTGTCATGTTTGGACTGGAATAGCCAAAAATAAATGGGCACTAGAAGTCCTCTTCTATAGGTACACTATGCAATTCCAGTCTGTGCCTCCTCTCCCCCATCCATCTGCGGTGACCCTTCTTCTGAAAATCAACTGAAAGAATTAGCGGCCTCCCTGCTTCTCCTCGGAGGCATGGAGGAGGTGGAATTTTAAAAAAAAGATGCCTGATGTTTCCTTACTGTGAAGAAAAAATGGGGTCTTTGTCCTATCCTCAGCTTGAGAGAACTGAACAAATTCCTGAGATTCAGAATGGTAATGTCAGCCTCCATCATCCTTTGCTTGCAGGCTTAAGAATGTGTTGTGGCTGTCTACCTTCAAGACACATGATTCCATATTGCAATCCAACCAGCCCATAGGATATATCTGCAATTCACAGGAGGGTCCAATCGTTATCAATACAAGGTACTGCTGTTCAGCCTCTGTACAGCACTGAGCGTCCTCCCAAAATATTTAGCTCACTTTTTAAGGAAACAAGGCATTTGTCTATCCATATCTAGATGATTGGCTGATTGGTGGGAGGTACCATCAGAATGTTGCTACAACTCTGAACTTTGTCCTTCACCTGTTTAGAGAGCTGGACCTTATCACAAACTACAACAAATCATCACTCAGCCCGTTGCAGACAATAGAGTACAAATCGGCAAAGGCATGCTTTCCAGAAGAGAAGCTTCTGTTTATCTAGACAGTCTTTTCCAACATTAAGATAAATCAATCACTCACAGTAAGAACCTGCCTCCAACTGTATGGCTGCATCAGCTTTCACTTATGTGATGCCGCTAGCCATCACCTATGTCTGTTGCATCCATTCTCAGCCAGTCCTGTAGCAACCTGTGGAACATCAAATGGACGTATTTGTTGAAGTTGTAGCTCATGTATTTGGTGATTTCTAAATTCATGGACAGATGCTCAGAATCTTCAAAAAGGGGCCCCTCACCTACAAAGGCATTGATTACACACTTCTTAGGAACTGGTTGAGGTGCTCACCTGGACCATCTTCAGGTACATGGGATATGGTCCCAGAAGGAGATGAGTCTCCTCATAAATGTCCTAGAACTCCAAGCAATCAGATTAGCTTGCAAAACATTGCTCCTGGCTTTAAAGAATTTCACTGTACAGATCCATTTATGATGTATGATGTAAACCAGCAGGGAGGTGCCCATCCTTTGTCCTTGTGCCAAGAAGCAATCAGATTATGGACATGGTATAATGGACAATTGCTCTTCATCTTCCGAGAGCCAACAACAATTTAGCAGATTTTCTCAGCAGACAATCTATCACCTGTCATGAATGGCCTCAGAAGAGCTCCCCCCTCAGACCAATATTTCAGCAGTGGGGAAATCCCATTTTAAGCTTGGTCCCCATCCAAGAGAACACAAAGCGTATGTCCACACTCCTAGCCCGGGTGGACAGACTCTCAGTAGTGGGGCTCAAGTTAGTGCCCTAAAAATAGCAGTGTGGCTGTTGGTGCTTAGGCTTGCAGCTCAAGGTCTTAAGCCTGGGTGGTTGGGTGGGTTTGAGAGTATGAGCTGCAATGTCCACACTACTATTTTTAGCATGATAGCCCATGCCCTGCTTGCATGAGTCTCTCTCTACCTGGGCTGGGACTTGCTCCCAGCTGCAGTGTAGACACTCCCAAAGTGCCCAGTCTTCTTTGTTTCAAAGGGGGTCAGAGCCCAGGATTCATGCAAGACACCTTTCTCATATGGCAGAATCAAAGTCTCCATCTCTCTAATATCCAGGATTATATGGAAAGTCCGAATGCAGCAGATCCTGATAGTTCCTTGTTGGCTGAGGCATTTTTGGCTAATGGGTCACTTCCAAATGTCCACTCAGCCTCCAATAGCAATTCCAAACAGTTCAGAAATAATGTCACCGAACAAAGGTCACATTGAACCCGGACTTGAAATTGTTGCACTTGACAGCTTGGATGTTGGCTGGTTAAGTGCCACTGACAGAGACTGTTTGTTCTACGTACGAGAAATCCTATGGTGAAGCAGGAGTCCCTAGTGAGTAATGAAAAATCTACTCCTCGGAGGTGAAAAGATTTTCTTTTTGGGCAGCCCAGCACAACCTTGATCCGTTGGAGGTCCCTTTTACCAGGATCCTTGATTATATCATCCATCTACATTTTTCTGGATTCTCATTCAGTTCAATTACAGTCCCACCTTGCAGCAATTCTGGCATGCCACCCACCCTGAGTCATGTTAGTTTTTTCCTACACTACTGCATCCAGATTTTTAAGGGTTGCTTCCCACTGATTTATGGAGCCACCTCCTGAATGGGATCATCATAATGTCCTTTGAGGCCTCCCTTTGAACCCTCTTCTGAATACACTATACCACCGTACTCTCAAGACAGCTTTTTATCATCCCCACTACGCCAGACAGAAGGGTCAGTGAACTCCAAAGTCTCATGGCCAACCCTCCTTGCACAGCATTCCACGAAGATAAGATGGTGCTGAGAAGCCATCCTAAATTTATTCCCAAACTCGTTTCAGACTTTCATTTAAATGAATTTATTAATCTCCCTCTTTTTTTCTTTCCAAAACCACACCCTTACCCAGAGGAGAAGAAACTTCATATTTTAGCTGTATTGAGGGTCTTGCTATGCTACCTGACTAGGACAAAGCCCATTATAAACAATGCCCCTGCCTTTTTTGTTGTTATAAGTAGTGGTTCCAGAGGACATGCCTTTTTCCCCCCAGAGAATATTTAAATGGATCACCTAGTGTATTTCATTCTTCTGTCCTATGGCTGATGTTCCTTTTCCTCTAAATACCACAGGTCATTTGACTAGAGCTCAGGCTTTAGCAGACAAGGAAGTATCCCCATTATCTCAGAACTGCAAGGCAGCCATTTGAAATAGTCCCCTCACTTTTGTTAAACATTATGCCCTTGACCTGGCTGCAAGATCAGATGTCAAATTTGGGAGGGCAGTATTAAAGTAGATAGAGGTAGTGTGGACTCCTCAATCCGACCTTCCAGATTAGGTGACTGGCAAGCAGCACCCTGAGGTGGTATCCACATGGACAAATGTTCAAAGAATTAAAAACAGTTACTATAAAGTAAGTAACTGTGTTTTTTCAGGATGTTTTGTTGGTGTGGATCCTACAACCTACCCTTCTTCCCTGGTTTTTCAAAATCTCCCTTAAATGGAGATTCTGAATGAGCACGGGAACTGACTGATGGTTACGGCTTCTCTGCCCTTGGTTAAGGGACACAAGGACATGCAGGGCACAAACAGACGCTGCTATTGGATGATTTTCATCTCACAAGCGTACTTAGAGGGATTCGCATGGACAAAACAACTTGGAGAACCAGTTATTGTAAGGTAGCCATTTTCCCCCCCCCCTTATGATGACCTTATCATTCTTTTAAGTGGCTCATTTGTTTCCACAGAGCCCTTGAGTCATTCAGTCAGTTGGTGTAAGGTGGAGGCAACGGCACTGAAACCTGACTTGGTGAATGTAGTTAGAGATCTTCCTCCTCCTCCCCTTGTGATCATGTCTCTCAGCATGAGGACAATTCAGAATGTGAAGACTCACCAGCATGAGGTAAATGATCAGCGTTGGTGATGAGTTTGATTTTTTTGTATGGCATATGCTAAGTAAGAATTAGTAACTGGAAGAACTTCACCAGCCAAAAAGCCTTGATTGTGATGTCTGCAATAGACCTGATTCTGTGGATCTGATTCTGCAATGAGATCTGTGCAGTTGAACCCCACTGTGGGCTGATGTATCCATCTGCTCAGAGCTCATTACAAGATCAGGGTCTCAGTTTGTATATTAAAATTTTGTTGTTTTATGGAAAACACCCAAAAATGCAATCTTTGGTTATAGTAGACTAAATAAATCCTTTTCTTTTAAAGAAACACACAACGGATTATATATACCCAGTAATGTGGCTCTTACGCATTATGTATTCTGATTAAAATAAAAGATTATCTCTGATAAACAAATTTTTATAACAGATTGGGAAACCGATTTGAACTCGCATACTAGCTATTATGCTGCTGCCACTTTTTATTCATCAAGATAGAAAACCACAGCAGTAGATTTTAGACCAGTGGTGGGCAACCTGTGGCCCGCAGGCTGCATGTGGCCCATCAGGGGAATCCACTGGCGGGCCGCGAGACAGTGTTTACATTGACTGTCCGCGGGCACAGTCGCCTGCAGCTCCCACTGGCAGTAGTTTGCTGTTCCCAGCCAATGGGAGCTGCGGGAACCGGCGTCCAGCATGTTCCTGCGGCCCGCGCTGCTTCCTGCCGCTGCCATTGGCTGGGAATGGTGAACCGCGGCCACTGGGAGCTGCGGGTGGACGTGCCTGCGGATGGTCAATTTAAACACTGTCTCGCGGCCTGCCAGCGGATTACCATGACGGGCCGTGTGCGGTCCGCGGACCACAGGTTGCCCACCACTGCTTTAGACTACCCACTGTAATTAAATGCTTTAAACTGTATATTTTAAACATGCTAACAAGTTGGCCTCACCGTGTTAACTTTCTAAAACTTGCACGAACCAGAATAAAGTTCCAAAAAACCTAAAGCTAATACTGACCTACTAGCTTGTAGTACAAGATACCAGTATGGAATATATGTAGTGTCGTAGATTATTTATACAGACAGTTGTTTCCAACAAACTCTTTTATTAAAGCTCGTCAGAAGCATTCCAGCAAAACGTTTTTTGTCAGAGTTTGGCCAATTCACCAAAACTGAAACATTCTGCGGAGAGCAGGTTCCAACGGAATCTGCCTGCATCCTGCGGGGGGAGGGATAGCTCAGTGGTTTGAGCATTGGCCTGCTAAACCCAGGGTTGTGAGCTCAATCCTTGAGGGGGCCACTTAGGGATCTGGGGCAAAAATCAGTACTTGGTCCTGCTAGTGAAGGCAGGGGCTGGACTCGATGACCTTTCAAGGTCCCTTCCAGTTCTAGGAGATAGGTATATCCTCAGCAGCTGGTCTAGTGGCTTGCTGAAGAGCCTGCTTTTTCCAGGCTTCTGGCTCCTCAACGAGCTGAGCGCTTGTGCCTCTTTGGCACCCCAGGGTTCCAGGCAGTCCTCCTATCAGAGTGTCCCAGGGTTGGGGACCACAGGTTCCGTCCCCCACTCCTTGGTGCTTCATTTCCTATTTGCAGAAAACGTCAAAATTTTGGAGTTTTGTTCCAAATCGGAACAAAACTCGATCTTGAAATACCAGAATCCTTCATGAAGCGGGTTTGCCTCTCTCCACCCGGTTCTGTATTTGATATCAAAATCCAGTAATAGTATTTCGTGACCGGTAGCTTGTGCTACTTAAGATCAGTAAACAATGCTGAAAACGTCAGCAATTTGCAGCTGAAATTCACTTAAAGTAGGCAATTGCCTTTTTTTAAAAAGGAGGAATAATTGGAGAAGACTGTTCAAAAGCAAGTGGAGGGATAGAGGCAATTTGATACTGTTAACCTGATGTAAATATGCAGATGCATATTATCATAGTTTATTATCATAGTATTTCTCATTTCTTGGTGTAGGTCATGGCTGTTGCAGCTCTAGTCCATCAAAGATTTTGTTTGGATAAAGCACCTCCTCAGCCTCCTTTCCAGACACACTTCTGTGGTGAGTAATTGGACCAAGTTATGGGTAGAGCAATTTTAAATATTTGCTTCAATAACTTCACTTGACTCCCTTTTTAATATCTATTTTTAAAATGTTTATTGGAGAGAGGTGCAAGCAAGAATTTCTGTGTGAACAGTCCTTTCCCCACAGTCTGTCAGCAGTAATGGTATGATGCCTGAGTGGTGGTGGGGAGAGAGCTAATTAGGTGAGGTGCTTGGATTTTATTCACTATCCCACAGTTTCCTCCATATTTTTAAACTTAGTTGCTATGACATTTACTTGGTAGAAATCTTAGGGTTTGTCTATGAAGGCAAAGTAACCTCCCTCCAAACATCCTCTGCCACTCTTTCTGTCCTCTTTCTCCTCCCACTTGTTGCTTTAAAAAAATTTTTTTTTTATTATTTAATTTAAATACAGTTCAGTCTTTTAAAGTAAAAGTTCAGCTAGAAGCAGGCCAGCAATAGCTTCAGTTGAACTTCTTTTTAAAAGGCTGAGCTGAGATCTCAAGGCAGTAATATGAAATTAAGAAATATGAAAACTTAAAAGATGCACAGCTGAGCATGTGGGTGTGGTCAACTAGCTTATCAACCCAGAATGCCTCAGATCCCAACTGATAGCCATGTAGAGTTTTGGAGGCCCATAGAGGAGCTAGAATGTGAACTGTAAGTGCTCCCCTGGCACAGTTTGAGAACGGCTAATGACATATAATTAGGGTTTGGGCTTGAAAGGATTAGATTTTTATTGGTAAATGTTGATAAATATCAATTTCACCACTCACACAAATGATGAAAAAATATTTCCATCGATGATGATCAAAATTTACAGATAGGCAAAGTAAAAAAAATACTGCTTGGGGACTTACTAGAGTATGATTTATGGATATTAATTTGTATATTTTAACATGGGATGTTGACAATTTGTTTTAACAGTTACAGAGCTTTAACTTTTTGAATCTCAACATCTACTGTTGTTAAATCATTTTGCCTGCCCCTCCTCTTTTTTCCTGTTTCCCCCCATAATTTCCCACATCTGTGAACATTTAAATAAATAAAAATAGAAAAAAATGCTTACAAATAAACTGATCTGTCAATTATTAAAAAATCTAATTCTGTCAACCCTACTTCTAATAGTTTTACTTTTATTGGATTTATTTATTGTTAATTTCTTTTAAACTAAATGCTACTCTGAAAAACATAAAATTTATGTAATTTTAACTCAAAAGCCATGGCAAGAGTTTACATTTCTTTAAATGTAGCTGAGACTTTTATTTTTTTTTTTTTTAAAAGAAGTCCCTGTTAAAAGCAAGATGTTAGATTAGCTTGTCTTCTGCTTATCTGTTCTGGTTTAGTGAGTTTTCAATTTCCAGCCCAGAAAACTGTCTTTTTAATCAAGTTTAAACTCTTGAATTTAGTTTTATAGTAGATAGCTTCATTTTAATTCAGTTGTTGAGTCTTGGTGTGGACTTGACTTCATTTTGTATCTTGTACAGTGCCAAGCACACTGTTACTACCTAATAAGATAAGGCGGCATTTCGTCCAGACCCATTGGATCCGAAGACTCTTAAATTAAAAAGATAGTCTTACAAAAAAAATAACTTCTAACAAATGACATTGTTTTTCATACCATATGCTCAAATGAGACCAAACCACTTATAATTTCTTTTGCAGTTATTTCCAAACCAAATGATTGTATTTTCCCTTATGACTTCAAAGAAATCATTAAAAGCAAGGTAACTTATTTTCTTAGCATTCAGAATAGAATGCCTTCTGAGATACTGCCTTTGAATTGTGGGAGAAGAGATTTGGATGGAGCAGTTTAGAGCGCTAGCTTTTGTCTCTGAAAATGTACATTCAAATCTTTACTTTACATCCTCTTTGAAAACATACCTGCTGATCTGTCACTACTTATGTTACAAAACTGTCATATAAATTGGCACAGTTGGCAGTTCAAAAGGTTCAGGAAGAACGTTACAGGTAAGATTTGAGGTACATTGGCAGAGCTTTGTGGGGCAGTTTTACATTGTATTTTATTTTGTTATACTTATTTCAAGCTGATTGTGTTAGACCAGAGGTGGGCAAACTACAGCCCTCGGGCCACATCCAGCCCGCAGAACATTCCTGCCTGGCCCCCTAAGCTCCTGCCCGGCCCCTCCCCTGCTGTTCTCCCTCCCCCGCAGACTCAGCTCGCTGCGCCACTGGTGCAGTGCTCTGGGCGGTGGAGCTGCGAGCTCCTGGGGCAGTGCAGCTGCAGAGCCCGGGCCTGACCCAGTGCTCTGTCCAGCCGGGTGGCGTGTCCGGCTGTCCAGCCAGGCGGTGTGGTGCGGCTGTAGCGCCGCCAGCCACCGGTGCTCCAGGCAGCACGGTAAGGGGGCAGGGAGCGGGGGGGTTGGATTGAGGGCAGGGGGGTTCAGGGTGGTGGTCAGGGGGCGGGGGTGTGGATAGGGGTTGGGACGGTCAGAGGGCGGGGAACGGGGATTGAATGGGAGCAGGAGTCCTGGAGGGGGGCAGTCAGGAAGGAAAGAGGAGGTTGGATGGGGTGGTGGCGGGGGTGAGGGGGTTCCGGGGGTGGTCAGGGGACAGGGAGAAGGAGTGGTTGGATGGGGCAGGAGTCCGGGGGCGGGGGAGGGGTGCGTCAGGGAGCGAGAAGGGGGGGGGGGTGGGTGGGGGGGGGGCGTTGGATGGGGGCGAGGGCTGGGTCACGTCTGGCTGTTTGGGGAGGCACAGCTTCCCCTAACTTGTCCTCCATACAATTTTGGAAATCGGATGTGGCCCTCAGGCCAAAAAGATTCTCATTTTCATGTGCAGTAAAGTCCATCAAAATTTCTGAGTATGTGAGAAAAGCTTTCTGTAGCCATGTGCATGAGAACAAGAAGCCTTCAATTATGAAGGAAAAAAGTCTGCAGTGTTTATTGTAGTCTTGTAACTCATGAGTGAGGGAGAGGGTTTTTCATTTTAAACGTTAAGTATTTATTGGGTCATTGAAACCAGGTACTCCCTCTTGCTCCTCTTAGAATTCTAACGTAGAGATTGCTGCAACAGAGAGAACGTTACTGGGATTTTTCCTTGCGAAGGTTCACAAAATTGACCCAGATATTATTGTGGTGAGTAACTATTAACTTGACTTTAATAGATATAAACTAAGAAATATGTTGACTGGGCAGATGTTAACTTAACTCTTGGTTTCTTTGTGCCCTTAAAGCTTTTACATTTATTTCACTCTGCCTCATGATTTAACTTGCTTTAATGGTTATAAAATAGAGCAAGTGTACATACTTACACATATGATATTGAATTGCTCTTCAGGAGTATGTTGTAGCCCATATCCCTTTAAATGTTATTGAAAACATAACGACCTTCCTTAATTTAAAAAAAAGCTTTTGGGTTTACCAGAGAAGGTGGAATATTGATACTTATGGGTCTATTCATCATCTGTCCAAATACACATGTAACTTCTGTTAATGTCATTTGGATAGTTTGATACCAAAATCAAGACAAAATATATTTTTAAAAAATCCATTGGTCAATTAAGTTTATTTTGTGGCAAAATAAGCCTTTCTTTGTACTTGATAAATGCTTTATATGGGAAATGTGAGATTTATTTTTACTTTAATGATTCATTTCCTTTTAAATGGTTAGGATATTTTAAATTATTAGTGAGTGTACTTTACTGAGTAGCCTTAAATTGTTTTTGAAACTCTTTTTGAATAACACAGAGCTGAGTTTATAAAAAAATTAACAAAAAATAATAATGAAGAAATAGGATGGAGGGATAACCAAATTACTGAAGTGAGCAGTGCTGGCAAAATTAATAATGGCTGGCAACAAATATCCATGTACCTCTGTAGTAGTTTTATAATTGTTGTGGAAAGACTGTCAGTGAAAATGCTGAGATTAACACTTGAAAATTTTGAATACCGCAAGTTAGGTAACTGAGTGGCCTGATTTTTCAGAGCTAAGCACCTGCAGTTCCCTTTGATTTCAGCCTGGTGCACAATGAGCCTGGGGCACAATGACCCTTCTTCAGGGGAGCAGAAAGGTGTCTTTAAAAATACTTGTGCACTCCCATTTCCTGAGTTGTGCTGTGTTCTTTCTGGTTTCAGCTGAGGATTGGGACTAGTACCTTCAGGGAACAAATAGTTATGTTTTTCTTACATATCTGAACTTTCCAGATGGTACTAGATTAAAAGATATTGTTTAGCAGTGTTTGATTTAAATATGTCAGAACTCTGCCTTTATGTAACATGATACATTGAATATGGTATTACTAGGATACCATGAATATATAACTTTACATCAGTAGTTGGAGGGTTTTATGAGTGGAGGGAGAAGGAATTACTTAAATATGTCTTCACATGTGGTTAAATAGAGAATTTAAATTGAGATCTGTCACTAGCTGTGAGGCATGAGAATGAAATTGAAAGAACCTGTATGAACTGTGAGCCAATTATAATGAAACAAAGTTTATTTCAGTATTCTGCTGAGCAGTGTTGTTAATGTCAGGACTAATGAGTACTGCTGATGAATAAATTCTCTTAGAAGTAAGGGCTTCCAATAAGAGGTATGCCATCTTGATGCCATCAATTAGATTAAAAAAAATATAAAGGGCAAAGGAATTCTAAACACATGAAAGTAAGTCCTTTAATTTGCATTTGTTATAACCTTTTTCTGTTGCTTTCTTTTTGTGGCAAGGGTCATAATATTTATGGTTTTGATCTGGAAGTGCTGCTGCAGAGAATTAATGTGAGCAAAGTCCCTCACTGGTCCAAGATAGGTCGACTGAGGAGGTCCATCATGCCAAAGCTTGGGGTAAAAGATTGCTTAAGTCTCTCTTAAGTTCTTTTATGTTGCATGTGATTAAAATGAATTAATTTAGCTAATGTATTTTGAATGCCTCTCTGATGTATTTTGACTGTTGGTCATGTTGGATTTCTTGCATCCCAGTTCAGACATAATGAATGTTTGTATGACTATTTTATTACAGTAATAAGCTAAACTAATTTTCAAGTTAGGCAAAATTAGTTTACATTTCTCAACTAGATGGTGGTAATGACAGATTAATAACTGTAATAGAGAAAAGATGTCTTTGTCTTTTTGTCTAGTGCAACTGTATAATGAGGGGAAAATGTGGCTTGGATTGACTGGTGAATCATCCCATAGAGAGTAGTTAAATTATATTTCACTAGTTTTATTACTTTCTTATTCTGAGAACATGACATTCTGAATACTTAACTACAGCACCTCCCTCTTGCATAGTTTTTTTTTTTTTTATAGGCCTATGCTTTTTTCTGTTTTCATCACAGCCACAAAACACTTCAGTGCTTTAATTTCTCTTTTTTTATAAGGAATTTCCTCCTTCTACATAGACATTCTCTTTGAAAGGTAGGAAAAAGACAATTGAAGTTTTTTTTAAGGGGAGGACTTATTTTTGTCTTTTATTAGCTATAAAGACGATTAAAATATTTACCGGTAATTAAATTGATAGCAAAAATTCCACTTTACAAGTTAAACATTCATTTTTGTTTATCTTCTCTCTTTCTTCTTCCCTTCACCACACTCTGCTGATACTTTTTTGTGTCCACTTCGTTCCCTGTCTTTCCCCACCAATGTGTTTTTGTTCTCCTCCCCTGTCATTTTTATGATTTTTTGTGCTGTCAAATACTAAACTGCTTGTTAGCATGCAAAAAAAAAAAAAAATTCAGATTCCATGCCAGACATTCATTCTTAGTTCCCTGATCCTGCAAACCCTTTTGCATGTGCTTAATTTTGTTACTGAGAGTTGTAAAATTTCAATGGGGCTACATAATAACAAAATTAAGCACATGCATAGGGGTTTTCAGGATTGGGTCTTAGCTTTTAAAGGGAGTCATGTGCCCAGTCCTTCATATCCACAGGCTTTGCTAAAATATATCTAAAATTCCTTTAGGACCTGATCCAAGGTCCACTGATTTAAATGGAAGATTCCGACTGCCTTGAGTGGCCTTTGGATGAAGCCACGTATGCATATATTTGAGTATGTGGTGTTTCTTTTTTTTTGTTTGTTTTTTATTTTTTGCATGGATAAGGGTCGAGGCGGCTTTGCTGAAAGGAATGCAGCCTGTGGTCGGATGATCTGTGATGTGGAAATTTCAGCAAAGGAATTAATTCGTTGCAAGAGCTACCATTTATCTGAATTGGTCCATCAGATTTTGAAAACCGAGAGGGTAACAATTCCACCAGAAGAGATAAGAAATATGTACAGGTATAATGCTCAGGTTTTTTTTTATTAAGTTCTGTGTTGGGGAATGGAGCAGCATTTAATTTTATTTAGTTTGTCTATATAGCAGAGTACTAATACTTAGTGTTTTTCATCTTAAAAAGTATTTTCCAAACACTGTTTCTCAGAACAGTGCTGCTGATCATGGCTTACTTCATTCAAATAGAGATACATTGTGAAAATGTTACTTTAGGTACATTGTTTAGTCTACTAATCTTGAATTACTATTTGCCACTAAATGAGTTTGCTTCATAATTTGGCACAGGTACACTGCAGAGATCTTAGAGCCATGATACAGAATTTAGGCCTACTCTTCTGCAAAATTCATACCAACATGTTTTAGGTTTAAACTTGCCGTTCTCCCTCTCTCTCTTCCCAGTGATTCGTCTCACTTACTGTACATGCTGGAGAACACCTGGACAGATGCCAGATTCATTCTGCAAATCATGTGTGAGCTGAATGTTCTTCCGCTAGCGCTGCAGATTACAAACATCTCTGGGAATGTTATGGTAATTTGTTTTCTTTCTCTTCACCTAAAAAGCAACTATTGCCTTGTGCTTTCTGTGTTTGGTATGATTAATGCCTAGTCTAAATCAGTGCTTGTAAATTCCTTAACTATGCACAGTGAAGAGTGTGCATCCTTTGTCCTTCAAAGAGATGAAAACTATTAGTTGGAGTACATTCAAATTCAGATGACCTCCATGGGATTTTTTTCCTCTGACATTAGAGAGTTTGTACTACGAAAGTATTTTAGGTGAAAATGGACAGATGGTTGAATCATTTGGTAGACTTGTTTACATATGGTGCAAAATCCCCACAAACAAAATTACATAAACCTGAAAATGGATATTTACCTTGTTTAAAAAAAAAAAAAAAATGTGAGAAGATGGTATCTAGTTGAAATCTGTCTTAATTCATTTTTGTGCATCAGTATTTTGCTTTCTCTAGTTTGTTTTGAATTCTTCTGTTTTTTTCCCCCATAGTCAAGGACAATGATGGGTGGGCGATCGGAGCGTAATGAGTTCCTGCTACTTCATGCTTTTTACGAGAGAGACTATATTGTGCCTGACAAGCAAGTTTTTAAAAAGCCTCAGCAGAAGCTGGTGGGTCCCAAATATGTTCTTGTTTTGACTTGCTGCTTCCATGATTTTTTTTTTAGATAAATTCTTATAAAAACACTAATATCTTTTCCTTTGCACATCATTTTCTTTACGAAAACATGAAAAAGTAATTATATCCAATCACAGGGATAGTTTATGGTCAGATCAACAAGAACTTTTCCCAAGATATTATAACAGCTTATGTCATAAGTGTGAAGTGAAAAGCCTGTGGTTTAAAAGGACACTGTCAACTTGAAAAAACACATTGCTGACTGAAGTTTTTTACCTACTATAATTACAGGAGCATTTTACTTCTTTCAAGCTCAGTAATCTTATCAAATACTTTTTCAGGTTTTTTTGTGTTTAATTTGTACATTTAATGGTATTTGGTATATAGTCAGTTCCTTTATTTTTCTGTGAACCAGTCAGTTTCTCCCTTCTTGAAAAGACCCTTATAGATACCAATAAGGTTTTTAGAAAAAGCTTCCTTAATATTTTCTTCACATATGTGTCCCACTATAGGTGTGCAAATGTGACCAGTGTCTCAGTGAGGGCCAGCTATGGTCACTCAATTAGGGTGAACTGCAAAGAATGGGGCAGACAGTCACCATAAAGCTGGTGGATATTCCAATACTTAGATTTACCAAGCCAGCATAAAACAGTTTCTTTATTACCTTACTGGTTACTCAGAAGTCCAAACAACACAGTTCCCTTAAAGTGATCCAGCCTCGGGCCTCCATTCAGGTACCCCCGTCAAATATGATGATTTCTGAAAATTTTATTTCATCATAAAAAAGAAAAGGTTCTACCAATCCCAAAGGATCGAACACATTAATGAATGTTAATGAATGTTTCAGATCTTACCCAAATACACACTACAGCCAATTCTTATTAACTAAACTAAAATTTCTTAAAATACAAAATAGAGTATGATTAAAAGATCAATATACATACAGACAAGAGTTCAGTTCATTTAGGTGCAGAGATGGTGAGCTTTGTAGTTGCAAAGAGTTTTTAGAAATAGTTCATAGGTTATAGTCCAATGCCCAAATATCCTATTCAGGGGGTACCAGCATAACTGGGACCTCAGTCTTGTGACTCAAACTTCCCCTGATGAAGCCTAAGCAGATCTGAGATGACAGAATCAGGACCCAACGGTCTTTTATACAATTTTATGTTCTCTTTGACAAGTTGGAGTTCCTCAGGGAAGGAAAGGTAATGAGGATGACTTTGAAGGAGGTCCATCACCAGTACTTAGCTATAGAATTAACATAAGGCCATTTGCTTCTTCCTCCACCATTCACAGATTATTTGCTATACATTTCAAAGAGAGATGAATACCAAGATATCCCGTGTTTACAATTCATTTAAATGCTAGGATGTTCTTTTGACCTCTGAATGATCAGAATACAGCATAGACAGGGACCGTTGATTACATTGTTGACCCTACTCATACATATGTAAATACACAAAAACACAAACATTATCTCCCCACATGTCTTTTGAGGGTTATTTATTTGGCAGGATGTTTAACCCTTTCTAGCCATGTGTCACAGCAAGACTGGATTTTTCTTGAGTAGCGGTGTACAGGGGTGCACATGTACCCGGTGCTCCTCATTCTTAGAAGGTTTGGAGTTTAGCTTGAGCTAAGTCTAGCAGGTTGGACATCAGCTAGGTTCCTGCTTACTACGTGTGGAAGTTTGAGGGCTAATCCTCCTGAAAGACTCACATAGCAAGTGCCTATTTTGCCTGGGAGAGTCCCATATCTCTAGCAGGTGCTTGGTCTGCCTATCTTTCTCTGCAACAACTTCAAGTCGCAAGATGTGAGGCTGAAGCTCTTTCTTGTGGAATGATCCATGAAGGTGGCATTGGCTCCAGAAGAGCTATGCTTCAAGACCTGTCTAATGGGCAGGCCTGTGTTGTCCAGTGGTCCCTCAGGCAGAAAGGTATCTTCAAAGATATCAGTAGGGAAATTGACACTGGGGCATCAAAAAGGGCTGCTCTAAACAATGGGGTAGGAGCTCAGGAAGGAGCATAGTGTCCTCACACAAAGAGAGGCACAGGAAAAAGTTGTTGTGTGATAAGCCCACCAAGCATGAACAGAAAGGAGCAAACTGTCGTGCAACTCGCTCTGTTCATACTGGGTCTGGTAGTGGAAGCACCCATGTCGACTCCAGCATCAGGAGAACAGATTCAGACTATACCAGGGACATTCTCGGTGCTGAGATGCCCAACAGCAGCAGTCACTTTCATGGTTTGATTATAATCAGTTTCACTTTCTCCCTTACTTGCACTACTACACTGAGGCAATGTTTAATTCATAAAAAAAATTCTTATCAGAATAAAAAAAAAATGCAAGCATTGCTATTGATCTAAAGTGTGTTGGGTTTTTTTAAAAACACTATTTTCGTAAACTGGATTTTGGGCTTAAATTAATTCAGTAATATTCTTTTAAAATAACTTCACTTTCTCTCCACCATTTGGTGTCAGTCTGTGCCACACAACATAGACTAGTGCTCTGTTCCATGGTGACGATTCCTAAAAGACTGTGTAATCTTTTGTGATCAGTCTCTTCCCAGAGCAGTGCAATTTTGTGATGGAAAGAGCCTTAATCAGGATATTGATAAAAATATTCATGTAGTAGATGTCTGTTAGAAAAAACTCCATTCTTATCCCATTCATTCCAATTTTTCTTTTGTAAATTAAGACTTCTAAATTAGAAACTTGATATTATTTTAAAAAGAGGCTAGATGTCGGAATTTTTTATGCCAAATACAGGTGGATGAAGATGAAGGTGTTGAAGATCAGAATAAATCAAAGATAGGGAGAAAGAAGGCAGCATATGCTGGGGGTCTAGTCTTGGATCCGAAAGTGGGTAAGATTTGGCAATTTTACTGCTCATAACAGTGTATCAGGTCATAAATGTGAAGGTTAGCTCCAGCTAAACTAAAATGCTGTTACATTGCTGTTTGTTCAAAAAGTTTCAAAGCAAAAGGCAGGGAAAATCCCCAAGCCCCTTGTATATGAAAGGAAAAAAATTCAGAATGATGATGATTAGAAAGGCCAGAATCTTGAGAAGGTGTGGGGAGGGGGAGAAGCAATGTAGCACAACTTTCTTGTAAGGATATAGATGCAGAAGTAACTTTATATATGTGCTTTCCATTTTGGGAACAAACAGGAAAAAAAGCTTAATTTTGTTTGCCAGTAGAGTAGTATATCTTTCATGCAACATCAGGGAGAAATTAGGGTTTTTTGTGTTTAGATTGTGTATAGCGTCTATATTTTGCTAATGGATGCTTAAGGTTTTCTTAGTTTCTCCTATATATGGTGATAACTGTACAAAAGCATCCTACAGTAATACAGAAGCTATCTGTTTAACCCTGGCAAGTTAAGAGGGGTTAGATCGTTCCACTTCTGACATTCATTAATCGCTGGCTAATAGCACATCTGAACCTTTTCTTAGGACTGTTGATTAGACACATCACATAGTGCACTGGTCTCTGAATCCAAGCTGCTTCTCAAGCTTGTACAGAGGACAGTGTAGACTGGCAACACTCAGCTTAGTCTGGGTTCAGCCATGTAATATGTGAGTGGGGGTCACTTCTTTTCCGGCAAAAACTTATAACACTCACGGCCCTCTCCCAAATCTCCCCCCTTCATTGTGTGAAATCTTCTCCTCCCCCACCACAGATGCATCCATATTAGTCACATTTCTTGTTTATAGTTACTGAATTGGGCCCTGAAACTTAATGGAAATCTTTCATTTGGCTTTAATGGGAGTTGGATCAGGTACCTAATGGGGATGAATAATTCTATGGATCCTCACACTGTATTATACCTTCTACTCTGTATTCTATTTCAGGTTTTTATGACACATTTATTTTGCTTCTGGACTTCAACAGCTTGTACCCTTCAATTATCCAGGAGTTCAACATATGTTTTACCACAGTGCAGAGAGAGTCATCAGATGCACAGAAGAGGGCAGAGGTTTGTGTGTGCTTTATTAATGTTCTGATTTGAGGTTCAAATCTTCAGTGTGTTCATGTGAATTAAATTGTAACGGCATCCTGGCTGGAAACTGATCCTACATGCTTATCATTATCATCATCATTATTTTTACTTTTGGTAGCACTCACTATGTGCTAGGTGATTTCCAAACCTTCAAGGAGGACAATCGTTGCTGCAAGGAAGAACGCAATCTAGGGAATTGTCTTTTTGCTTCCAAGCTCCTTGAATGTGCTATCTGTAACTATTGCATCTACTTCCTTTCAATAATACTCATCATGCTTGCACCCCTGGCATGTTGTTCCATTCCTTATCCTCTCCCGTACAAGAGGATTTATTGAGGGCTTAGTTAATCCTGTCTCTTCTTCCTCTACAACTTCTTTTTTCTGCTGCTAAATCCCTTTTCTGTGCCTTGTCATCTCTCATCCAAACTAATGAAACGTGTTTTTTTTCTCATCCCTGGCCTCCTTGCATGTCCTCTTGCATCTGTACAAAAGCACTACAGAAATAAACTTCCTGTCTTGCCATTCTGTCCTCCTCCCATGGGCTTCTTCTTGTCTTCACACTTGGGTTCATGCTTCTAATCCTTCTCCCCTTTTAGTCACTACACCACTCCACCCGTATCTACATCTCTGTTTTAATTTCTTCCTACAGTTCCTTGCAAGCGCTTTTCTAAACTTGCCTTTTGTTTTCTCCTTCTATGCTCATCTTTGCATATTTCCATATCAGTCCTTTTATGCTTGGAACTCCCTCCTTCTGTTCAGCTGAACAAATACTCTCCTTATTCATGTTTCTCCTTATAAAACATTTCTTCTATGAAACCTTTCAATTGCAATTTACCAGATGAGGATGGGGGAAATCCATACAGCTGTAAGATTGGACCTTCACTTGGTGTTTTATGTCTCTGAAGTGTATTGGCTATCTGATGCAAAATGTATGCTCCATGGGGCATACTCCGTTTTACAGTCCTGAACACCAAAAATGTTTAACTGGAGAATATGAATTGACTGGAGCCACCAGGGGTGTTTGACTGTCTTTGTGGTACTAGGTACTTGAGCTCCAGACTAGCAGTATGCCTCTTCAGTTGGATTCAATGATGGAATATACAGTGTGTCAATTCAGGAAGCCTGTTCTGTGCCTGCTGTATTTGGGGGGTGCAGGTAAAATGGATTGATTCAAATCAAAGCTATTTAAATCACAAATTTTTACTAATGATTTTAAATCATCAATTTTAACTAAAAAGTACAAATGCAAAACATAATTATCTTCCTAAAATAAGGTTGATTTTCATTGGTTGGTAACCATTAAAACATTGATTTGCAACTAAATATATCCTTCACACTTCATTTGGTCCTTCTTTGTGCAATCAGGAGGATACACTATATATCTATATACAGTTATTTAAGCATTTATATAGCTTAACTTGCATTTATTCAGATGCTTAATTTTTATATTTGTATTATGTTAGAAAATGGTGAATCATGCATTTCTTATTTACTTGGTGATTAACTTTTTACATGTGATCTGGGTGAAATTCTATTTAGGTGGCAATTCAGATTCAGTTAAAAATTCACAAAATCAGCATTTTAGTTTTTTCTTTTTTAAAAAATAAATAAAACTACCTTAAATGTGCTGGATACATAAGAAAAAAAGCTGATTTTAAAACAGTTTTGCATTTAAAACCATGTCCTTCAAGATTTTACAACTAGGAGATCTGATCTTCTCACACCTAGGACTTATCTGCACAGCATCGGCGAAGCATGCCAGAGTGGGTGTAATTTGTAAAGGTCTAATATGTTGTGGTCTAACTGCCCTACGTAGACCCTGCTGCTGTGCACTAAAAAGTACCTAGTTCACGTTAATGGACTATGTTAACATGAACTTGGCACCTTCTGGAACACAACAGCAGAGTCTACCCAGGGCAGTTAGAGTGTAACACATTAGAGTGCTTTACAAATCGCACCCCTCTGGTGCACTTTGTTGGTGCTCTATAGACAAGCCCTTGGTTTTTATTCAGAGATTGGAAGAAGAAAACAAGCTTTTCTGCTTTTTCAATTCCCAGTTGGTTTCTTAAATTTGAGTGAGCTAGTTGTTGAATTGAACTAGTTGAATAAACTGAAATGAAAAAAAAAAATTCTATTTTCACCCGCAGAAGACGCTATGCTGTCAAAAGCTGGTTTAATACTTCAATAAACTCTGCTTAGCCCATGACTTCAACCAGTTCAGTGGTGTGACTTTCTTTAAAACTTGCCAGCAAACACAGATTGTTTTTTGTTTTTATTGTAAATGATTTTATTGTAAATGGACTATAATAAATTTAGGCTCTGACATGGGTTGTTAGTGTCAGATTTAATTTTCAATAGGTTTATTTTTTAAGACTAAACCTGAATTTAATTTAAATTAAAAACTCATTTTTTTCTAAATTGTTCATTTTTTATCCACCCTGGCTGAGGGTGACTCTTGGTTGTCTTTTAGATCAGGATGAACTGTTAAATCAAACAACATAACGTTTCTGAATAGTCCATCTTCAGCAATATCTCTAACTTTCTGGGCTGTGGACATTTAGATTTTTTTCTTTCTCCTTTTGTGGTGATAATTATACATAAGTGTCCTTCGTTAACATAGAAACTTTTGGTTAATTCTTCTCAAGTTAATAAGGACTGTATCATTCCACTTCTGACACTTTTGTTTCATAGGCTAATGCCTGATTAATTGAAGCCTATGAAAGTGGTTGTAGTTTTGCCACCATGTTCACATGCAGGCACAGTTCGAAAGTTGGAATCCTTTAAGGTTTATATCTGTACAATTATGTACATCTCTTAATTTGGAGTGTTTGGATCCAAAGAAAATCCATGGGCATATAGCAGAAAGTATTTGTAAATATGTAAACCACTGTACAGTAGGTACCCCGCCCCTATGAGGCCAATAACGACAAGAAGTTTGTTGGTAAAGGCTGTCCTTGACTTTACATATAGGTCTGTAACTTGCAAAGCCAGGCAGTGTTTTCTTAATTATAAATCCCTGAAACGGTAAGAGTGCTTTTTTCCTTGATAGGTGTATTCGGAAACTTCAGGTAAATGGGAATGGGATGGCAGTGGAATGGGTTACCTAGAGAGGTGTTGGAATCTCCTTCCTTAGAGGTTTTTAAGGTCAGGCTTGACAAAGCCCTGGCTGGGATGATTTAGTTGGGGTTGGTCCTGCTTTGAGCAGGGGGTTGGATTAGATGACCTCCTGAGGTCCCTTCCAATCCTGATATTCTATTATTCTATTCTCTGATTTAAATACATTCTTTTGGCTCTTAGCTGTAAACAATAATATATAAAAAACTGCTCTTTTCTGAAAAGTGTTTGCAAAGGCCCCCACTGTTTGTGATCGTTTTTGTCCCTGCTCTAATTTCATATTAGCAGTATTGCCTGAGAACACAATTTTTAAACAAATATCCATCCCCTTTCAAAGCTCAAAGGAATAACATTGAAAATAGAGGGTATTTTTGTGCTTAAATTCCAAATGTGGACACAGTTATTACACTGAAATTGAGGTGTAAAATATGATATATGTGTCTTTCTGATATTCTTTATTTATTAAAAATGTATGCGCTTGGAAAGGGGAGAGGAATCACTTGTGGGAGTTCTCATTATGGCTTGTATTGGCAAAGCATTCAAGTTAGAATAACTCCCTTTGTACACAGCTTAAATGAGAAGCCATGTTGCTTGTCATTGTCCTTCTTTCAGAAGCAAATTCTGAGGTGGTGTGAGAATCAGGAAGGCAATATCATACAAAATAACATAGTGCTCATAACCATTTCCAATAACATTTAAATATGAAAGTCAAAAATTACTCACCTGAGAAGCAACGTGTGAAATAGTCACTCCTCCAGATGCTACCTTCCAAGCTTCACACTTAATATTATCTAACTCTTTCACCTGGAGATTTAGGGCTTGTTTATGCAAACGGTACATGGCAAACTGGGATGTAAATCTAGCTTGCACTAGTCTGCTGTGCACTAATTATCTGTCTGGATCCTGCTCCTGTGTCAAAGTGAAGTAGATCAAAGTGCGCTATGGAACTTTTAGGGTGCAGCAGCAGGATTCACATGAACAGTTAGTGCGTGGCAAGCTAGTGTGAGGTAGATTTACACCCCACCTTGCCACAAACTAAGTTTTCTTATAGACAAGCCCATAGTCTCTCTTTCCTTCAAATAGAATTGGTATCTGAAACTCTTGTCCCTACGGCTCTGAAACAATTCATTTTTAACCTGTCTTCTTGCAGTGGTGCTTACATACCCCTGAAGGCTTTGGTTTCTGTTCCTAGTGTGACATCTGAGAGCCAAGTCTTTTGGGGTGCATTAGAAGAGTTGCTAGTGTACTGGCAGTGAATAGACAAAAATAGACTTGCAAATTCTGGGTGTACTAGTGGTTCTGCAGCACCAAATTAATACAGCTGAAAAGCATGAAAACCACCTTCACTTCTGCCGTCTTGAACTGTGAGTGCAGTTTCCTTTTTACTCTGCAGAAATAAACTAACTTTTTCACGTCCTTCTTGCTTGTTAATAGACTAAAATCTACTTTTAAAGCAAATATTTGATAAACTAAATGATCATTTGACAGGATGGAGTGCAAGAAGAAATTCCAGAACTACCAGATCCATCTCTAGAAATGGGAATTTTGCCTAAAGAGATCAGAAAGCTGGTGGAGAGAAGGCGACAAGTCAAGCAATTGATGAAACAGCCGGATTTAAATCCTGACCTCTATTTACAGGTGTGTCTTATGGAAGAGCTCCTCTGCCTTCACTATACCTTATTTAAGTCCATTGGTCAGACTACAGAATAGGAGTGATTACTTTAATATTAAATGGAGGTTAGAAACAAATTGTAAGATGCTCACTTGTGGTTTAGAGAGGTGATAGATGTCAGAAATAGCTGTGAGTACTTGATAATATTGCATTCAACTTCTGTTTGCTGGTTATGGTGATTAATGTACTGGTTATGTTCCTTTTCAGTATGATATCAGGCAGAAGGCTTTGAAGCTTACAGCTAATAGCATGTATGGCTGTCTGGGGTTTTCCTACAGTAGATTCTATGCCAAGCCTTTGGCTGCTTTGGTGACACACAAAGGGAGAGAGGTGAGTCATTAAATAGCTTTTTAAAACGGACAAGTTTGATGAATAAAAACCTTGATTTCATTCTTCTTTCTTTATGAAGTCTGTATTATTCTGTCTGTCTTCCCATCAAAACAAATATTCCTTTATTTGTTATTTTTAAAAACTGAGGAGCCTAGCCACCGCGTTTAACCTTACATAAAACAGTGTGAAAATATTTGGTTAGGAAATAAAATTTCAAGCTTCCAAGGGGTTATTGTGAATGGTTGGTGTGAGTGAGGCTAAAGTTTTAGTATCCTGGGGAAATATCTTGTATTTAAGATTCAGACACTTATTGTGCCAACTTCTTAAGTGAACTACAAGACAAATACAGTTTTGAACAAATTTATACCTGAATTAGTCTACAGTCCATGAGTGCCACACACTTCTTTTATATTCTCGCTAGTCATACAAGACCTCTACCTCATTTTGGTTTGTTTGACCTTTTTAATACTCATATTCTTGTCTCTCTCTCTTTTTTAATAGGAAAGAAAGGTTTGCTTGCACATAGCTATTTAAAAAGGCCAGAGTTTTTCAGAATGAGCTATGTTTCATACCTGTATATAATTATGATGAAACGTATTATATCTGCTGTGTTCTAGAGAGATCTGTGATAGGAAGGGTAGGCAGTAAATAGGTAAGGAGAAATGATAATGTTTTAATAAGTAATTATTCCACAGACCTAGACTCAGTTCACTTTTAAAAAAAACCTCTTTTAATCATTCTTTTTGGTTAATGCTGCAATACTATAGCTAGAAGGGAGAGTGTCTTAAACCATTTGATGTGTTAACCTCTTGGTGCCTAGGTTTTCGCCAGCCACTTAATGCTAATATAAATTGCATTACAGTTAGTAGCAGGAGCTGTGGGCTGTCTGTATCAAGAGGTTAATGAGAAAAAATAATTTCAGGAAAAGTCCTAGGGATCTAATTTAAAGTAACATACAAGGTTTTTTTGAAATGTGATTAAATGGTATTTCTTATGATTATGCACCTGATGATACATGCATAGGTAAACAAGATGATATGAAATATCTCCAGGGAATGTATCTTGAATAGATGTAGGTCAGATTTTGAAGTGCTACATTTTACTGTGTTGTCAAACCATCCTGTAGTTGAGGGCTGCACACTAAATATATTTGCAGAAAGATTCGGTGTGAAAAACACAAACAAGGCTGGAAATTCATATAGTGTAAAGTACTGGAAAGCTGTCAATATTATTAACTTTTATTAATAGTATTTTGGTGAGATTGGGTTTAGCTGTGAGGACATATTAGAAGTAGGTTGGCCCACGCAAGTGTGTTGTGCTGGCTAAAAACTGAAGGATTACACATTATTCTTTAAAAACTTGTTTGAAATCATGTTGATGGGGCAGCAATTACCTCATATGCACACTTGGATTTGATGGCAAAAGAATTTCATATGATGTGACAGAAATTCCTTCTATGAAGAGCAACATAGAGAGGTGCAGCACATACACCAGGGATCGCAACCTTCGGCACGTGGCCCATCAGGGTAATCCGCTGGCGGGCCGTGAGACATTTTGTTTACGTTGCCCATCCGCAGGCATGGGCCGCCCCCCCAGCTCCCAGTGGCTGCGGTTCGCTGTTCCCAGCCAATGAGCCTTGTGCCGAAGGTTGCTGACCCCTGACGTACACCATCAACGGAATCTCTGATTCAGATCCCATCTGACACAACTGTAATGACATGTTGGACACTTAGTACAGACTGGTACAACTGCAGGCATGTATAGGTTAGCTTTCAGTGGGGAAATTTGGGCAGCATGAGTTTCATGCCTGTGATTCCAACAAATAAAATGTAATTTGTAAAGTGACTAGTGTAGTAATTGTAGTGGTTGTTCACTAGATGGCGATAGATACCTTGAGATCATTAAACAATTAAGACTTTCAATCTTGTCAGTAAATTACTGTGACCATCCTTGAGTACACATCCTTTTAAATTGATCTTCTATGATTTGTAGTTTGTTTTTATGATATAGAATATCTGTGGGGGTTGTTTCCATTTTAATCTGAAATATTACCTAGTATCTCAAACCTATTTGTACAAGTTTTATATAAATCTGTAAGAAGAAAAATGCTTTCCGAAAAGGGAGAAAATATATGAACACTGCCAAGTCAAATTTGGCCTTAAATGTTTATAAGCACAAGTGTTTGTTTGCTGAAACTGAAGACCAGTAGATATATTTTACATGAATTATTTTTATAATCCAGTGGGATTTAAAAAAACAACAATGGATTCTCTGCAGTATTTGCCATCCAAATGGGGTGTTGTTGGGTTGGATTATAGTACAGTGGTTCTGAAACTTTTTCATAGTGTGAACAAACCTTAATGAGTTTCATGGGCTACTTCTCTCATGGTGACTACAGCAGTTGCTTGCATGGAAAAGTAATAGGAGAGTTTTTAATGTAATTTTAGCTGTCCTGTAATGTAATTTAGCAACTGGAAACAAGGAGAGGTAGTACCACATGATCAACCAGCTCTCTGCAGACCAGTGACGGTAAGTATAAGGTCACACTTTTTTCCAGCCTTTTTGACACACAGCCTTCCAGTGGAGAGTCAGATGTGTTTGGCTTCTGTATTCACGAGTCCCTGGGAAGAAGGCTGTTTCTTGTGGGACAACAGAAGAGTTGCCAAGCTGCTGTCTGGGGCCAACTTGGTTGCCATTGGCTGTGACCCCAGATCAGTGATCTTTCCACATCTCCTCCAGGACATTGTTCTTTACTGTTCCAATCAGTTCCCCAAATGACCCACCTTCTTGGCCAGAAAACTGGACCACAGAGGGGCAAAATTACTCTTCTTTCTTCCACCACAACTTGTAGATAAGTTACAGAATTCATGTTGCAGTACATTAAGTGAAAGGATGAAGTTTGCCAGTCAGGTTAATTTCAAATTTCCTATTCAGATTTTTAAATTAATTCTTTAGTGATAATTTGCCCAAATTCCAAGGCGCTGGTAGTCAAAGGGAGAAAAGATAGCATCTGCTTGTCACTGACTTCTGCGAAAGGAAGCTGAGGAGGAGGGGCAAGGGAAAGAAGAGAAAGTGAAATCAAAAAGCCCAAATAAGTTAATTGAAAAATGAAACAAAGGGAAGCAGGCATAGTACCTTACCTACTCTCTTCCTTTTCTGTCCCCTTCCTCTGAGCTCTGGCAGCAGGGAAATATAGGCTTCATTCCATTTCTCCTTGAGCCTTGTTCAGCTGGGGAAGGTGATCAACATCTGTTGTTGCGTTCTGGGCCTCTGGTCTATCTACATGTTTTGCCAGAGCTGATATGAATGGGGCAGTTTGTCAGGCCTCCTTCCCCAAAATGTAGGGGGGGAGAGAGGAAAACAGATCCTCTTAAAATCTCATTAGTAGCTGCCTTTTTGGATGCTTTTGTGGATGCCATTCACACTCCCACTAGAGCTTTGACATCCAGTATGATTTTTGTGGAGGCATGCGGCCTAGATACTTGAAGGCCCAAGCAGAAGAGTTCTTAGCTGATTCTAAATATTCAGGTGTTCTACAAAAGTGGTGCTTTATGATTTAGAGAAATTGAAGAATTTCTTGCCATCCATCAGACATTGTAGGAGGGGCTATGGATCCTAGTTCAAAAGACAGCAGTCCTTTTGTGGTGCTTTTCTCCTTGAGATGCCTCATAAGAGGAAGATGCAACAGACCTCAAATTTTTCAACAAAAACCTAAGGATGTTCAAGATGGACAACTTTTGAAATTCTGTCTGGTATCTCAAGGGTTTTTTTCTTTTGAGCTGAAGGAGGCTGTCTCTATATGTGCATACATTTTTCACACATGACATTTTTTATAATTTACATATAGTCATGACCATTTCCAGTACAAAGCTCTATCCTTCAAAGCCTCCTCTAGAGTTTCAGTATCCTGCTGGACAAGTAAGAGTCAGTTCTTCAAGTTCTGGTCCTTATGTGTATTCCACATGTGGGTATGCATGAGCCTGAGTCCAGTGATTTTAACAAGCAGTGTCTGTTGGCCCACACATGTGCAGTGGATCTCCTCATGCTCCAGAGCGACGGTATAAGAAGCTGTGCAGGTTAACACCCTCTCAGTTCCTTCTTACCCCCGCATGGTCTGAGTCAGGATCCAGTGTCCTCTTTGGCTTCAGCATTTCAGAAAACCTGTAAATAAGATTGTGAATAGTTTTAAGACCAACTGAACTAAGCTAAAGAATAACTATTCACAATCTTATTTACAGGTTTTCTGAAATGCTGAAGCCAGAGAGGACACTGGATCCTATGTCCAGACTCTTGGGCTTCAAAAATTGCATCTCCTGCCCTAGATCCTTCGCTGTCAGAGACAAACACTGACTCTCCCTCTACTGCCTGGGTAAGACACACATTTTGGCGCTGTGCAGCATTTGTTGCTAATTTCCACCAATGAGCTTTGCCTTAGAAAACATTTAATGGAGAAGATCTCTCATTTAATGGACTGTCTGATCTGGGCCAGGAAGACTCCACTGTACATTGGCCTCACCAAAGGAGCAGCTCTCCTCTGAGCATGTGCCCAAAGACTTCCTCAAGAGCTTCCCATGAGAGTAAGGGACACTCTCATAGATGCAAGGACAGATCCACATCTAGGACTGTCCATAAAAGATGCACTCCTTCCCCAAGCCTATCGAGTCGGTCGAGCTCTTACACATAGACTTCTAAGTAACTGGCTCTGCAGAAAACCCCCAGGGTGGAGAGTAAGGTGTGTAGGAAGAAGGATCCGCTGGTTCCGTTGGTGACTCTCTGGTACTGAAGCACAAGGACCATCATTTCTTATAGTTGCTGGAACTAGGGGTGCTGGGGCTGTGGTAGCCCCCCCCCCCCCCCGGCTTAAAGCTGACCCCTCCTTCATCTCCACAGTCCGAATAAAGCCTGGACAGGTGATCTGGGACTTAGGGTTGCTACCCTTATGAACATGACCTGCCTAGGCGACCAATGATCCCTCAGGCCATGGGGTCCCCCTCCAACAG